GGCAATGGTCCACGAATTGTGTAACATATTTTGATTTTTAGTAAATTACGAGTTACTGAACCAAAAAACCTGTATGATTGTTACTTAGACATCTTGCGTAGAGAAGGCAAGATGCATTTGTTAGGAGGGCTAAACCTACATACGATTTTATCAAACTGGGCCAAAAGTTCAGGATATCCAATTGTTACCGTTATTAGACACTACACAACAGGAGATGTCACTTTTTCGCAGGTTTTTCATTTGAGTTAAGTTAATATGAAGAAACGTTATTTTTCAGCAAGTGAATGATTTGAGTGGCGATTCAGAGGACAATATTTGGTACATTCCTTTAACATATACCTTTCAGAATAGGATGAACTTTGAAAGCACCGTTACTGATTTGTGGATGACCAATAAAACTGTTACGGCACAGACAGGTGAACCTCGAGGATGGATTTTAGTAAATAAGCACGCAACAGGTGAGAATTAAACAAGAAAAGTTCATTACAAAATTGCATGGAAATTGCGTATCTGGCTAAACAAGCATTTGCGGACAAAAGTTATATAGCTAACTGTCATTACTTTATTATGCAGAATCACCCCTTGAAGTTTGTCGCACTTTACTCATCAACGCATTGTATAAGTACATGAATCAATCATCCATTCATAAGTTACATTTTTGTGGTATCAATTTATCGAGATATTAAAAAGAAAATGGCGGACACGGTTTGCTTCGCTATGTGACACCCAAGTACAATTGTCGAACAAATTGAAGCTAATAGTTTTGTACTAATTTTCTGCTATTTATTGCCGATAACAACAAATTGTGTGCTCTCATACAGAGCAATAAACTCTCTAAAGGCAGATGGGTGTCTTCAACTAAACGCGATCGTATACCCGCCGATTTAATTTTTGGTGGTACCTCATAATTAGGGCGGTATTCATTGATTACAAATTTTGTGCACTTATACAAACCGAGAAAGCAACAAAAACGTCACCATCGATCTGATTCGTACTGGTGTGGAACCAAGATTACGCTACCATACGAGATTATAAAAGTAACATCTACTTTGAAACCGAAGAATCTGAATTTTGGCTAATATTTTTTATCTGAGAAATGAGAGAGAACTCAAAAATGCCCCATCCCTTAAATTATAACGCTATTTTTGTAGGTTACTATCGAGTGGCATACGATAATGAAAATTGGAGACGTTTAACGGAGTTTTTGCACTCAAAGGATTATGAATTAATCCCGGCGGTAAATCGCGCCCAATTAATAGATGATGCCTTCTTCTTCTTTATTAGGGATAAACTTGATACGGATATTTTCTTGGATTTTACATCGTATTTGGCCAAAGAACAAGACTACATTCCGATTAAGAGTTATCTGACTGATCTGGATATAATTTTTGAATTAAATGAAATTCGACGAGACGACAACGAATTCGGGATTGTAAAGGTAAGCGAAGTTCGCAATGGAAATATATACTTATAGCATTACAGGGTTATCTAATTACACTTTTAAAAGCGTCCCTTGACGGAGTAGGGTTGTACGCAAGAGAATATGATACACACATGGACAAACTAAAAAGAGAGGAAATTATGAAAATGTTGTGTACATTGGGAGACTTTCGGTGTAGGTTACAGGGTCTGAGGATGCTAACAGAATGGAAAGCTACTGGAAAACCTCTGAGAAATTATGATATGGAAATGTGGTTATGTGCCGCAATGCAAAAGCCCACAGTTCAGTTGTGGAATTTTCTTATTCAACAGTATAGTTTAACTGATGACGATATTTTGAGACAAAAGTATCTTAGAGCCTTATCTTGTGCCAACTCGGTAGTTTTCAAACAAAGGTAAGTTGAATTTAAATTACGATACATCAGTAAATTATTTCCAGGTTTTTGAAATTCATTTTTGATTTGCATAATAACATGAAATCTCAAGAGAGAACGGATGGTCTGGCAAGTTTCGTTCGTAACACATTCATGGGCGCAAAGGCGATTATCCATTACATTAAAGACAACCAGTTAGATGATAGGTTAGCGCAATACAATTAAGTATCGATCTTTAATGATTCTTATGTTACAGATATTATTCGCTCTTTCGGGATTCAAAGGAGCGATATTTGCTAATGCCATCTGAAATCGGAAAAAAGGTATGGTTGTACTAGTTTTAGTTTATAAACATTTTATTTTAGCTTACCGCTGAAGACAGGAAAATTTTAACCCGTCTTTGTGTTTTGTTCGTTACTGATGAAGAGAATAACGAGAAAGCTGTTAGAAAGCTTGTTGAAGGTTTTCCAAAATATTTATAAGAATACTCGTACATACCAGGAGCTGTGAAGATTTTTAAAACAAGTCCTCTGATGTAATTTCACTTTATCAACATTTTTGCCCTGCTAAATATGACGATGTTTTCTGTACGAAAACGTGGTTTGGTTCTAAACATCCGAGGAAGCTGAGTGAAACTTATTTTCTAGTAATGTGCCTAATGTGTATATATTTGATTAGATCTAGTCGCGAATACCTATGTTTTTGAAAATAATGTGTTGTTTTAATATATAAATCATAAAAACCTTGATAGATGATTTTATCGTTCCTCTGAAAATATATTGTGCATTTTAAAAGTTTATAGAAAAATATATTTTCATCCTTCTGCTTCCTATAATACTTTCCTTCTGTTCACAGTTCCTTTCACAACGTACCTCTTAGCAAACAGTTTTTTTCTTAATACGTGACCCAACCAAATTCTCTTTCTTTTGTTCGTTATCTATGGTTTATCACCTTTCTCCAACTGGTTGCTGTACTTCCTCATTCCTTACTCTGTCTTCCCAATCGAATCGTTCTTCTCCATATGCCAATACTTCTATTCATTTGGTCATTCTTAATTATTGTCCATGCTTCACAAACATACAGTATTACGCTCCAGACTCCAGTATTTTCCTCAATTCAATATCTTTCACGCTTTTGAGCATTCTGCAGATATTAGTTGAATATTTGTTTTGCCATTACACCTCTCATTCTTCTCTTTCTTTCTTCACAGCTCCTCTATTTGCGAGTTATCTCTGTACATGGGTACCTGTATCGATGCATTTTGGAAAACGAAATTTAAAAAAATTAAAAAAATGTTTAGGATAAATGTTGTCGATGGGCTGGTTATCAAAAAATCTTGGTTTGTGATTTTTTTATCGATCGCCATTTGGTTATTTGAAAAAATAAAAAATAATTGCAAACACAAATCTTTTATAGAGCTGAAAGGTAATGGCCTTTGGGGACAATTTCTCGCCTCTGGGACAACAAGGTATGAAGTCAACAAGGAGAGGAAAAAAGCAGACGGACGGAATTATTTAATACTATTGATGATGAAGACAAGAAGGTATGTGTGAGAAATTTAAATGTATAGAAACGAAGATGGATGAAAAAATATACGGAACAAACGAAAATCTAAATAATGAAATTGAAAATCTGAGAATTGACATGAGTTAATTTGGAGAAAGCATGTAGGCAATACAATTAGAGTGGAACAAAGTTACAGCAAGGAAAACTTTGAACAAGTTCAAGGGGAAATTGTGGATCGAGTAAAGAATGAACCGCCAGGATGAAGTACATATTGCATAGTAATAGGGGACGCTCAGCTCCAAGAAATGAGAAGTATATAGGATATCAGAATCTGCAATTGTCTCTAACGAGAAAGAGATTTGATTTAAAATAAGAAGTTAAAGGAAATAATGTAACTAGAATATAAAAAAGAGAATCCAAAGAAGAGAAATAAAGATGCCATTACTTGGAAGTGAAGTGACCGCAACGAGAGTTATAGAAGACGCATTTAAAAATTTGGTTTCTTATAGAAGTCAGGATCAATAAGACCGAGAACATCATGGAGACCGTGATTTTTACAATAGTAGGAGATATTATAATAACAGACAGCGGAAGAGAAATGAGTATGGGAAAGAACAAAGTGAAACGTAAAAGAAATAGATATAGGTCAGAAAGGAGTGACGAAAGGTCAAAAATCAAAGTCAAAGTCAAAGCAAGTTAATAATGTAATGTAATGCGCTGGTCACTCCGGGACAAAAGAACACTTTAAAATGCTAACCAGTTCTCAACCGCGGAAGCTCACCATACCCTAAAGTGGCGACCCCGCAGCAAAGGAACAATATCACATACCTACGCGAAGAAGTGTACACTTCCGGCATCTGCTACAATCCCAATATTGACCTAATTAATAATTTGGGAAACTCGGTAGCCTCGATCAGCTATCGAAAACTCCAAAAAATTAACTACAGAAATTTTCATGAACACCTGACACAATTCTTGGACTACGATAAGAAAAATATGTCATGAAAACTCTATCCGAGTCGCAATAAACACACAAAAACATTTTTTAAATCAAAATTCCCGAGAGAAAGAAAAGCCTACAAAGCTTATTTGGACCTAATACCCCGCACGCAGGCATTTATTGTTGTTAAAGGTCAGCTTTTATTTGTCAGGGTATTGCATCTGTTTTTGAAATGTTAAGTTTTTGGATAATCAAATGGAGCATTTGTTGCGTATGTGAGAATTTTGCACTGCCGCTTATTCCCTGGTGGCTCTTAACGTCAGAAATATAGTCGAAATTCGAATTTCTATTCCTTTTTCTTTTTACTCTATACATTCAGGCAACAGTAACGTGAACCGTTATTCAGAGCGTTATATGTTATGTTATGGTTATACCATTGAATAAGCACCTTATTCAATGGTTATACTTAACCACAATTCGATGTGCTGTTAGAATTATTATCAACCTAAACTCCATTTGGAAATATCTGTTTTGATAGCTGTTTCTAGATAAAAATACAAAGAAGTAATAAAAAGAATTCAAAGTGGCACCAATGGCACACATGGTGTAATTTCTAAAAAAATGTAATCTAATGATCTCACCTACGTTTTAAACATTATACAAATGTAGTGTTTGCGTTATTTCAGAGATAAATATCATGGCCAATAACTTGGTTGTGTCATAGTTAGTGAGAAGTTTTGATAAAGTGTAGTCCTATTTTAAAAGTACAGCACGATGTTCTTGGTGCGGTTGATGGTTATTTCTTTATTCAACTATTTTGTTTACATTGAATGTCAGCATCCAGACTACGTCCTTCCGAACAATGTAAAACCCTTGCGATACACCATTACAATTCGTTTAGTTAACATCACTAATTTCATGGGCAACGTGGTGATCGAACTGGAAGCAAAGGAAGAGTCCTCTAACATAACTTTACATTCGAAAAATATTGAAATTGATGAAAACCTTGTTTCGGTAGTCTCTGAAAATGGAGAAGAAATTCGACGAAATTACACAGCGGTTGATACAGAAAAAGACTTTTATATTATCGCATTCAATGAAAACCTTACTCAAGGAAAGAGGTACAATTTAACAATCAAGGATTTTACAGGCTCGCTAAAAGAGACAAAGTCGGGTTTTTTTTCTGCAAAATATTTGGATGTAAACGGAACTGAGAAGTAAGTATCCCCGTTATCAATTTACTTAATGTAGATTTTGCGGTTATCTAGGCCACAGAGTGCGATTTGACCTTCTAATCATTACTTATGTGTTATTAAAGTAATGGTGGAATGCGGGTTGATCTTAGATATTTCGGCATCCTCTATACCTCAAGCTATTTGTCATATTTCTTGCTGGATGCGAATATCTATATATTTATTGATGACAAGGTTCCTTGTCTTTTACACCTAACGGTTGTTTTAGACACTTCGTTATGACTGAATTCGAACCATCTGGAATCAGAAAGGCGTTTCCTTGTTTTGATCAACCCAATTTAAAAGCAACGTTCATTATGAAAATGATTAGACCTTCCCATTTACATTCTGCATTTAATACACCCCTCGTAGAAACAATGTAAGATTAGACTCCTTTTCTCGATTTTAACACATCTGTTAAAGTGACTTGGAAAACGGGTATAAAATGGACGTTTTTAAAGAAACACCTATCATGCCAACATACATTGTGGCATTTATAGTGTCAGGTTTTCAGTATACAAAATCAAATGGAATATTTCGCATTTTGGCAGAGGCTCGACACACTCAGGATGGCAGTACAGATTTTGTACTGGGAGAATCTACCAAAATATTAAAATCCCTAGAAGCGTACACGGAAATACAGTATCCTCTAGACAAAATCGACATGATCGCCGTACCCGCTCATTATTACTTAGATGGCGCTATGGAAAACTGGGGGTTGATTGTGTTTAGGTGATCCATTTCAGGTCTAGTATGCAGCTATTTATTTATCGAATTGTAGCGAAAAATACTTATTGTGTCCAAAAAGTTACTCACACAAAGATATACAAAATTGTTTGACCTTCACTACCCATGAAATTGCTCATCAGTGGTTTGGAAACTTAGCAACACAAAGGTCTTGGAATTATCTATGGCTGAGTGAAGGATTTGCTTCCTACTTCCAGTACTATATTGCAGATATGGTAGGTCTATAATCGGGCACTTCTCTCCTATTAAATTATTAGAAAGGCGATTAAATTCTTGTTGTTACTGGTCAGCGCCACACTATGATGATAATAGCGTTTGTAGGTCGAACCATCTTGGCGAATAATGGAGCAGTATGTACTGGAGGAATATGAAGTCAGTCTCGGAGATGACCTAGAATATCCCAACGAAAGTGTAGATTTCGTATATACTTCACCGGATTCATACCCAAATCCCAACATTTACTATAGAAAAGGTAAGGAATGTATCAAAAATGTGTCACATTCACAAGAAAATGTTGTTAGCATCTGCTATTATCCGAATGACTCAGCATATATTAACTGACGAAATTCATCGTAACGGTTTAAGGATTTATTTGAAAAATAAGTAATTGTCTATTACTATGTTCGACACATCACATATAATTGGTAATGATTTCAGTAAGTTTAAAAACACTGAACCTGTAGATGTTTTTAACTCGTATCAACAAGCAGTAGAAAATGCCAATGCTACTCACTTGTTGGGCAACATGACTGTGCACGAGATATTGAGAACATGGACTAAACATCCTGGATATCCAATTGTAACAGTGACAAGAGATTATGAAAATGGGAAAGTGACATTTTCCCAAGTGAGGAAACTATTTTAGCTTTAGAATGGAAATTACTACTTTGGTCTGAAAGGGACTGTAAACTGTATTATTATTTTCAGAAACTGTATGGCACAGATGGAGATGAAGAAAACAGGCTGTGGCATATTCCAATAACGTACGCATTGGAAAGCAACGAAAATTACTTTAATTTTAATAAAACAACCACTGATATCTGGTTATCGGGAGAAAATATTACTATAGACATAGGTACAAATGAAGGATGGATTTTGGTGAACAAACATGCAACAGGTAAGTTTAAAAGTTCAGGGCTGTGAAAGCAGTAATTTCAAACGGTAATACCTTAGGGTACTACCGAATAGCATACGATGACAAAAATTGGGAGCGACTCATAACTTACTTGCGCAGTGAAAATTATTACAAGATCCCACCGGTAAACCGTGCGCGTCTGTTGTACGATGCTGTAACACTGGATATGGCAAACCCATTCAATAAAGAACTCCTTTTTAACTTATCATTATACATGCAACAAGAAGTTGACTACATACCGATAAGTGCGTTTGTAGAAATATTGACACGTGTAGATATATGGACAGTGGAACAGGAGGAGTTTAGTGTAGTACAGGTATGGTGACATAAGGTAGAAGTCCGCTGAAGGAATTCTTTCTGTTAGAAATATATAGGGAAAATGCTTGCTGTAGCTTACAAACGCATCAATTCCATACCGAAAGAAAACCAAACACATGTAGACGGATTATGCAGAGACGTACTAGAAAGGATAATGTGCTCAATAGAACATGAAGATTGCGTTAAAAAAACAAAGGAAGCATTATCCAGTTGGATGGATACTGGTGAACTTACTATTAGTGCAAGTTTAATGAAAGATTCGTTATGCGCCGTTATGAAAAGTGCACCTATCAGTTTGTGGGAATTTTTACTTAAACAGTATTTTCGAAGCACCGACGAAGCTTCTAAGCAGACTTATATGTACGCATTGGCATGTAGTAAAAATACCTCTATCCAACAACTGTTTTTAAAGACGTTATTTGATTTAAATAACACCGTGTCAGTCGAGGATAGAATAGTTGGCCTTACTGAAATATCTTCCACCCTTCAAGGAGCGGAATTACTTATAAAGTACATTGAAACTGTCGACGTTGATGACAGGTTACATATACAAATATGGCATCTACTGTCTTTTGTAATGCTTTGCTCTGATTAGGTACTGCGCTTACTTTTCGGGCAGGATGGAATTATTCATTCCGCTACGTGCAGCTCAAATAGAAGGAGCAGCACGCTCATCGCAAGAAAGATGTCTTCCTATTGCTTTTTTCAAGCACGACGAGGAAGCAGGAGGTTTAATAAAGTGGTTGGATCAATGGAATAAAAAATACGCTTTCTTCTGACAATTGTAAGTGTCTTGTCCGAAGAATTTCTTCGATACAATGTAGGCACACGCAAGGAGTAGTTTGTGAATTTAATAAACAAAATTAATTCGTAGTAGAATGACTGATTTTCTTTGCCCAATTAATCTATCCAATTACGATTAATTCTTTCTAATACAAAATCCATGGACTCGCCTTGGTCACCCTACAATTGAGAAAAATGAGAAACACATGTTAATTATAGAGTAATTTAAACGCAACATTGGTTTTGTTTAAAACATTTTATTTCTTTAAGTTAGGTACCACAAAAAAGGAACAAAACGAAATATGGGAGAAAGCGCCTATATCGTCTTAAACGAATCTCCGAACGCCCACCGGTGCCCGGGGTGTCGCCAACGCCAAGTGACAAACAAAATACGAAGAATCGCATACGATTTTCAGTAGGGGATTGTTGTGTCACTCGGATCGTATTCGGAGAACAAACTTTTAATACGGCTCATATTAAATAGCACTGATCCTTGTACTCGACGAGGAGACGAAGGATTGACATCGCTGTCTTTTCGTTCTCGAGTTAGACGAGGAACAAACGGACAGACGGGCGTACAAAACCATCACATAAGGGGAATTTTTTTCTAAAAAGGGATCCCGTTTATAATTGAAACTTGACACTTGAAACTTTGACATATGCCTGGCGTCGACGCCTCTCCCAGGATTTAGTCAACTGTCGTGAGGATGCGTTCGATATCAATTCTTTTACTTATCTGATTATATTTCTTACTCCCGATTTGTCCTTAAGAGATTTATTTGCCGTGATAGTAGACGATCTAGGTAGCACGAAATCCACTGAACGAAAGTGATTCCACTGTGGCCTATCCGAGTATGCTAAAATCGACCGTCTGTCGCCTTAGGTTATGTTACCTAAGGATCTGCGGTACTTCGTGCGGTACCAATTCTAAATGGTTTTCTTTTACAAAATAAGTTACACCGACACCAAGTGAAAACGTTCACAATAACATTCTAACATCTGACACTAGGGTCAATTGTGTATTAGAACCGTAAATAATAATCAATAGGAATCCATAATTCAAATGACTTTACACTAGCAAAATCAAAATTTTGACTCGAAAACGAATCGTCCGTACAAATTGCTAAAATAAAAGCATAAAAGTGACCTTAATTTGTGCAGCAAGGTACAAAGCGTGAACTCTAGCGATAAGAAAATGAAGTAAGGTCAAGGAAACACTACCAAAAATAACTTAACTAAACGGGTTTACCTTTACGTTTACGTGACCATCTCATTGCACTGTACTGTGTCTAAGCAACCCGAATCTACGACTGGCTGTTGCCCGTAAGGATATCACAGATCCGTTAGGTTCCCAAATTATCAACATTACCAGGGGTAAACGTAGCGTACGTGCGTATTGAATTCATTTCCGGTCAACGAAGGACGTGCGCTTTAATTCGAGTCATGACATTTTAAGTCAATTTAACGTAACGAACACCTAACCTTGATCTACATTATATAGAGGATTCAATCTTAAATAATTAGTCTTTGTGGATTACTTAGGTTTCTTTTCTAATTCCGTGGGTTCTGTACCTTCAATTGTAGCGCTAACTTGCGAGGTCAAATTAATTGGACTCGTGAAGATTTGCCGCAACGTCAATTTGTTGTATGGAATTTCGTAGAGCTCTAGTAAAGTTGAAGATTTGCGTAAGTTAATATTAATCCTATAGTTAGGGAATCTTACTTAGAGGTACGTTACGTACGTACGTACACTTGGCCAGTTGATTACTTTACTTATTGATCGCTTTATCGTATACACAAAGATCATGATCTTTGGTATACATATCTTGTTCTTAGGTTCAGAACCTTTTGAACACCAGATATCCTCAAAAGAGTTAGTTAAATCGCACATTTAACAAAAACCTGAGAAAATAAATTTTTTGAGTATGTGTTTAATTATTTAATTGCTAATTGGTCAAGCCTAAGACAGATTTTTAGCGAAATTTTTGAAAGAAATTCCCCTTATGTGTTGGTTTTGTTCACCCGTCTGTCTGTGTGGTCCTCCTAAAATTGTAGTGGCATGGACCTCACTTTGTACCTAATTGAGCCTCAACATCCACCAGTTATTTTAAATTCCACAGATTTATTAAGGAAATGTCAAAATTTTACAAGAACAAGCTGGACAACTGATGAGTTTACACTCCCTTAGGAGATGGTATTGACCCATCGTCAGGTTAAAAAGTTTTTACATCAATGCGCATACAAATGTAAGTGCGGGACCATTATTTATTTACTTATTATCCCTGTCTTGTTTTGGGCCCCTTGCGCCCAGTTACAGCCGTCTACCACAATTAAAGATCGAGGATAACATTTCACTTTTTATTGCTTTCGCTACGAAGGTGGACAGGTGGTATTAAGCGCTTAATTGTGACACTTAACACTTCTGGTAAAAGAATGAATTTTGTAGGAATCGACCGCAAATTCAGAAAAGACTCGAAATCAGAGTCATTCGGAAATATATTACCGATAAATTTGACAAGGAAAAATATCAATTGACACTTTAGTTTTATAGTTATTTATTTACATAAAAGTCAGGAAAATGACACATTACTGGCGAGGAAATATTTAATTGCCGAATCAGGTAATGTCATTTTACTGACGAGTTTTGTATTAAATTTTACCGAAATCGTATTTTAATATAAAATTTCAATTTTCATATAGAACTTTTTAAGGCTATCATCACAAAAACGTTGATTTTGTGGACGCTTTTGCGGCCATAAAGTTTAACTTTATTGTACGCTTCTGTCAAACTTTACTTTATTGTACACATCTGTCAAACTGTACCTACTTATTTGAAACTGATGTGTGAGAAACAGTAATCTGTTTAATACAAAGCGTCTATCTGGTCTAGCCCCATCAAGGATTGGGCCATCCACGTGGGTTTTTTTCATTTTCGGACTTGTAGGAATGTTTCACACTATTTTGCATAATCACAACGTTCACATTTAAAATTATAGTTTGACGTTTCAATCTTTGCTGCTTGCAGACCTTTTTGAAGTGTAGAACCAAAACATGAGGAAGATGTTATTGCTTACATTATTATGCGAAGAATCACCAGCAATTAACCGAGAACACAAGTAGCTACCTATACCTGCCATCAAAGTAGGTAATCAGGTTTCTAATAATTGTACAGCATGTTAACTATAAGGTCTTGGAAGCCACAGTTACGAAGGACCTATTGCATTTGACATTATTAAAATCTTGTGCAATGGAGGAAGTTGCGATTGTACTTTTACTCTCAAACGCCAGCTCTTATATCATATATGGCTTAGGTTCGCAAGCTTGCAGCTTCCAAAATTTCATCCTGAACTGTCGCTATCACCCATTTTGATACGCACAAAACACACGCAAAGATGCTAATTATAATTTATTACATATGACAGGAATTGCTTTGTTTTTAATTGTCTAAGATAACTATGATTTTCAGAAAAAATATGTTTATGAGCAAATTTTTGAATTCTTTTTTGATGATCGCCTAAAAAATGTTGTGTGCACCTTGGCCAAAAGTGATTTGTTAGGCCTCATCTGAATTGCGGCCTCGGCTACCGCCTCGGCCACAAACAGCAGCTTCGGCCAAAAAAGATCACTTTTACGGCCTTGGTACACAAATAACTATTTAATTAATGTCAATCCTGTCAGTAATGACAGGAGTCATTATAGACATTTAGCAATGACACAAATGCGGCCGATAAAGTGACGGTGCGGCCGGTAAGGTGACATGTGCGAGCAGTAAAGTAACAAGCGGCAGGAAACGTTGTCTGCTCTCCCTCTGTCATGGAAACTAAAATTTCCCGACAGAAAATAGGCATGAAAATGAAGGTTGCAGGTCGATTTTGGGTAAAATGTATTGTTCCATTTTTCACTGCACCATTTTTGTAATTGTAAAATTGTAATGTAAATTATCGACTGATAACACTCCTAAGCAATGACCTCCACTACTTTGAGAGTGAGCAAAAAAGAATTATTAGTTACTCTTTGCTGTCTATATTTTCAAAGCTCTCAGCATTGAATAAAAAATTAATTTTTATTCAATGTCTCAGCCAATTCCATATTGAGGACTTACTGATTGCGCCTATAGAGGGTGATGTCACAACACTGAAAGCGAGCGAGTTGTGAATGTTGCAGCCAGCGGGGACCAAGCAAAATTACTCGAAACACTGCAGCATCGATTAACTAAATGGAAGATGGAGAAACAAAGCCTGTTCTTTGGAGACATGATCTTTATGAAAGAAGGCGTTACCTCGCCTTGGTGATCCTACAGACGAATACTACAGCTGCAGCGACAGTAAGTTAAAACAAAGAATGACGTAATAAAACTTCCAATTGCCAAAGTGTGTGCTTTACCTTTAGACAAAGACATGTCACGTTAATCAATGTGTATCAAAGAAATTATACAATACAGCTATGACCTTAATCTAGTAATTGTATTGTATATTGTAATAATAGTAAACACTACTTAAATTTTTATAAACGATAACAGCAATTAACATTTTTTTTGGTAATGGTTATAATAATATAGTAATTTGTATAATATTTTTTTTAAGTTAACACAATTTCTTGATCACAGGACAATTTAGTTGGATAGGTATTCACTAATTTCATAAACATTTCTAGAAAGAAGATACTTTTTTAATTTGTACTAGAAGATAGAGAATGTTATAGCGTTTTTTATTTCAAGTGGAAGTTTGTTTAATATTTTTACTCCAAGGATGTAGACATTGCTTTTGTTTATGTTTATTCTGCCGAAAGGTATTCTATATTGTTCACATATTCTAGTTGACAAGTAGGTATCTTTATATTCTTTATAGTGTTTAGTAACTCAGATTCAGTCTTTGTAACGACATCTTAATGAATCTTAATGAATCTCAAATTTAAGTTAGAGCGTTACGAGAAAATAAATACCTGGTGGATTTATTTGAGACACTTCAATTTTGGGTATAAAGTACTTTAATATATCTATTGAAAATGTAATTGTCATACACTTTACTACCATACAAATGTTGTCGCACCAATTTGAATCCATCAAGAAAGTTTTTTTACGATACCCACAATACGCATCGTAACACTATAGGTATCAAAAATCAGTAACGTTCCAGAACGAAACGTGATCGTCAAGAAATTTTTTAATTTTTCAAATAGTAAACCATACCTTCTTAATTCGAGAGATAAGCAACTGCTAGGTTTTACGCCACTTCTCAAGATGGTAACGTTTTTCAATTTTCAGCATGGCGCATTTGTGATTTTTTTACTAACTCTTTAAACAATTCCATAAGTGAAATACTTTAATCATACGGAATACCTATCGCCCCCTCACTATAATTTCATAGTGGTGACCATTATGCACATGCAATAGTTAATACGTTTTACTCCACACGAATCCTGGTACTTCTCTAACTATAATCAATAATGCACCTAGACGACTACTAATAGTTAGACATTAAAACGCCGTAGGTAAATTACAGTGTTTGAATGTGACAGCAAATAACGAAGGCAGGAAACATTTTTTCTTCTTCCACCACGTGCAGAAGATATTAATTGCGGGAAGGTAAGCGGAAGTTCCTGTTATTAACATAATCCACTAGACTGGACGGACTTGTCCGTTCCAGTTTAAATGCGTACAGCCGCACATTTTGAACAAAATCCAGTTTGGTTTCGGTAGGTGCACCGTATTTACATTGTTACACCGGTTACCGGAGTGATGCACGCACCATTTCCGGTAGATAGGTACACTTCGTTGAAAATGTTCACGCAACCGAGTGTCTTATGCACAAGTGTGCGGTATGAAAGTAAATTGTAAGTATACAAATTTTTACAATTCTGCATTTATCACAAATTCGTGATGATTACATTTGCACTGCACTTGCGATCCATAATTGAAACTTGGTGCTTAAAGGCGCAATCGATCAGAAAACTAGAGACCTGGGTATAGATAGTTCTTTCAAATTTTGAATTAATTTTTAAAACTTAATTAAATTTGAATACTTGAAAGTAAATGTTGCGTATACCTGTGATTCAATTCGTTTTAAACCGATTTATTTTGCCTTTACCTATACCATAGATTAATTTTAATCTATGCCTATACTAACACAAGAACTAAACCCTAATTACTCATTCCCAAGTCATTTTAAAACTACCAACCCTTAAATAGTATGAAATAATTTCGTGCTTTACCGAATCAGTCTACTATAATATTTAAATCGTTTTCGGCATTTATAATTAATTATATAATTTAACTTTAGACATTTAGATCTCTACTCGGTTGAATAATAAATAATAATGTTCCATTTACCATGTTATTAAAATTCCTAAATAATTATTAATAACGAATAGATATTAATTAATAGAAATTTGTACGAACGCAGAATGCATTTCCTAGAGAACGCCATTTTACCACTTAATAACTACGCTTTTGTTTCGCTCATGGATCTTTCTGTGCTATTTACACGGTAGTTCATAAGTTCGTTACCTTACTACGTTTTAAATAGGTAAGCACTTTATGGTTTCTAGTAGCCAATTTCAATCGGTGAAGTATAATCAATCATGATTGTGTAACTCCATTTAAATTTGGTAACCATTAAGTGTAAATTTCTATTCTATTGTTTAAAATTAGAAAATAGCAGATTCAATGTCACTTTTCATAATCGAATCTAATTCCACTGAATATTTTTGAACATAACAAAAGCTATGTTTAACTGAATTAAAAATAGAAAACAAACAAAACAGTTTTTCCGATTTTTTTCGGAAAGGTCTGTGAAAAAAGTGTAAATATAGATATTATTCATTTTTTTATTCCCTACAACTTTTACTTCAAACATTATTTCGCCCACATTTAATAGCTTTGCCGCAAACCGCAAAAGACTTTCCACTCTTTTCAACTTTGTCACGTGCACTAAAAACCTGGTTTTGGGCCGGGAACAAATTTTATTGTCAAAAAATATTATATGGCCTGGACTAAAAGTAGTCAAAGGAAAATCAGCGACCATTCCATCTTTTTCCTCACTTCTTTTGGAGAGAACAACTTTAATAGGAAAAATCTGTAAATGCAAGCCCCCGTTCCTCTTAAACAAGCATTTATATTTCTGGGTTGCTATAAATATAATAAAATAATCATCCATACAATGCTTACTACTGAATTTTGTAACTGAAAGTTTACTATAGCTACAAAAATAAGGATAATAACCTTGTGTTGCCAAATAAAGGAATTTTAGTTTATAGGAAAAGGTGCAAGAATAGTATAGGTAAATTATAGATAAAATAATTCATATAAGTAAAATTACGGTCGTGGTGTCAAATCCCATATACCTACTGCAGTACTAACTCAATTTTGCATATGTTACGTGAAGCGTATCGAACCATCACGATCTAAACGGACATTGACCAAAAGTAAGGGCACTGGCCATACCTTCATTTTCATTGAAATAATTTACATTTTGTTAAAAAAAACTGTGGAGATGAAGCATTTCATTTTACACCTGGTATTCATTATTGTACTCATTACTTGAACGCAACGATCTCTAAAACTTGTACATAGATACGCACGTAACGTAAAAAGGTAATTTGTAACATATAATTAACCACTATTTCTTGTACTGTAACAATTTAATTTATCAAGCACATATTTCCACCTGATGCATTTTCAGGTCGTCTTCCTCAGTGTAGATAAAGTGTCAGAATTAGTATCGCTTGGTTTGCAAATGCAGTGCGTTACATGGGGAACGTGTGAATTAAAAATATTAATCTCTTATTTTAGAAAAATAGTATTAAAATAATTTCTTTGTTTTAGTGAAAGTTTGTGCGAAGAAATGGATTAGACCTCTGTTTGGAAATGAGAGCTAATATGCTAATTAACGTAATTACCGAGGTGGTGACAATTAAGAACCGGGTGGATTTAGACTTTAGCTACCAAATTACATAAACGGATTCGGTGATGATGTCTACCGGAAGGAGGAATCTCATCGACGGGCATAGAAGTTTCTTCAGAATAAAAGTTCGTTTAAAATTTTCGAGTGTGTTCCTGTTCTTTAAAATAGTGTGCGTGTTGTACGCGTTTCAAGGGTGCATTTCCGGAGTACTGTGCAATAGACCCCCTCGATTTTTAATAGATGGGCAGACGGAAATTGTAATAAGACTTAAAGAGGGTAGTGACACTCCTGTTGGTAAGTACCCTTTGAAGAAGTGTGCAGGTTTGAATAAAGAAGGTACTCATCGAAATGAATTAAAGCAAATTTCTTCTCGTCATACCTGGTAGTTCTGTAATGATATGAATTCATAACGATCCGTTATCTTCAACAGTTTATGCTGCTTGGTTCCAGATACTCCCAATTAGTAATCTGAAGTTGTAACCTTTCATGCATGAGGCATTGTACTATTTTGTAATTTTTATAGATGCTGTGTCTTAACATCATTCTTTCTACATTACCGCTGTCTGTCTCCACTACAAACCAAGTGAAATTCTAGAGTTTTTGGTAATAATTTACATGGATGGGCATTATTTAAATTTTCTGATTTCTAAATAACTTGAAATAGCCCATTGCAATTGTACATCACGGAAAAATGATGGAGAAGGAGACAGTAACATGTATACAGGGTGTTCCTAAATATAATGTAAATATGGAAGGAGCTAATTGTTTGGCTTATTGTATGACTAAAAGTTCTAATAAACATAAGCCCGCAAATGCTATTTTACTGATCTACAGGGTGTTAAAATTTCATGAATTTATGATCTTTCTTAATATTTCCTACAGTTTCGCTTAAATTGGAAATATAAGTTACGCCAAAGGTCTTACGTCATTCATCAAGTCAATGTGGTGAGAATCTGCAGTGTTGTCTTTTTTTTCAGGGATCATATTCAATTCTCTATCCCTGACTTTTATTCGGGGCATCACTTGTAAACTTTCAAATAAGAATTTTGTTTTCCGATTTTTATTCTTTATAATCGTATATGAAACCGCAGAATCCGCGGTCTATATTTCTGATATTTGGCTCTCGGCGTATTTGAGCTTTACTAGGTTTTGCGTCTAAGACGATTCCCTTAAAAAGACACGGTTTGTTGCATGGGGCATTTTGAGTTTTGGAATAAGCAGGACTTCTGATACAATTATTTGGGAGTCGTAGGATATTTACAGTTATTTTCCGGTAATAACCGAATATGAAATTTCTACCTGACGTATTATGATCTTAATGACCGTCCAATTTTTTTACATCAGCAACAAATTAGCTCATAGTCGGTTCTATTTTTTTGGAAATGGAGAATATTCTCTTCTTTTCTCTTGGTGTGGGAGTCACTCTACCAGAGGTGATTTATTTATCTAGTCTTGGTTGTATGGTCTTTTCTTTAATAACCCACGCCAGTTAAGTGCCAAAAGTTCGGAAAATTCCTCCCCACTTATCTCGTCAGATCAAACGTTTCAAGTGTCCAATCACATGGAATTTAACTAGAAATACAAATTTGACTCGCTATACATTGGTGACAACTTTTTCTTTCCAATCAAATTATACATAGTTATTGCCCTTTTCCTTCCTAACAATTCCTTGGAATTTAAGACAATTGATTTACGGTAACAAAAAACGAAAGACAAGGCATGTCATTTTTCTTGGTGTCTGATTCATACCATTTGTATAAATACTAAAATACAATGGATACCAAACCGCAGTGCAGCAGCTTGCGGTTTTGTAAAATTGCGTAAATTGTTATCATTTGTTCATATGAGGAAACATGCTTTGCACATTCAGAGGTTTTTAAAGATCTGCATCCTCAACAACACATTCTTTTCTTATTATCTGAGAGATTTGCAGTCATGCCCTCTAAACTTCAAGCTTGAAACTCACCTGAAATTTTAAAACAGTTAGAAATTGATCCACAAATAAGCAAGATCTTTTGAACGTTTTATATATATCTTAACTTGCAAAATTTTAAATTATGAATATCTTTCCATCTTATAATTTAAAATTGCCTTTGTGCAGCATTTCCTTCCCGATTTTTGAAATGTATGCTTTAAAGTTGCAATTGAAAGTTACGTATATCCTCTATACACCAAACCTCAAGTTTCATTCCAAGATTTCTACTTGAAATTTATACGTGTGGTACCTTCATGTTCTAATTTCCAAAATTCTAAATATTTTAGCCGAGATTTTAGCTTTTAAGTTGACAATTCTACAAATGTCAAATTAGGAACTTTGTTTCTGGAAGTCAAGCTGTCATAACCTACACTGAAACAAAAAATAAGTAAAAAGTTACAATAAAATTTTGTTTTTTGGTTTTTCTTCAGTTTTGGTAACTAAAATCTAAAACTGCGAAATTTTTACAAACTGCAAATGTTAAATTCTCGATTTCCGCTTGAATTATTATATTCCAGATGTAATTTAGAATATTACTTTAAAATTGCCTTAAATGTCCCAAAATGGTTTCAAGTTTACAGCTGTCAATGCCCTCCAAACTTAAAATTTGAAATTTTGTTGCGACATTCAAATTGAACTATTGTACCTATTAACAAAACAATACGAAAAATACGATCTTCTCAAGCTCTAAATGCAACTTCGCAGAAATCTAATGACGAAAAAAGGAAACCTTTTCTCAAAATGGCAAGTAAAGCAGTAATTTAAAAAGATGTTTTTTTTTAAATTGTTTCCCGAATGTTCTTTACTACAATGAATGGTAAAATTATGCGCATATTATGCAGAATGTTAGTGAAAAATATGCAAACAGTTTTGATATACAGGGTGACAATTTGAAAACTTACCACACCCCATATCTTAGTAAATAAACGAGATATTTAAAAAAATCAAAATCCGTTTCGGTAATTCGGAGGGGGAATCACAATGACATAGTTGGCGACGAACCCCCTCCAACCCCCTGCGCCCCAGCCACCCCAACTTTTAAATCTTAAATAGTGACCCCCCATGTGTGATACGTCGTTGGAAAGCTATGAAAAAATGCTTTCCAACCATACCAAATAGCATTACGTTTAGGTTAGTAATTATCGCGCAAATCAAAAAATAAACTAATATGATACATTTGAAATCTGTCGTATTTAAAACGCAACCGGCGAACATAGACGAACTAAGACAGAGAATAATTCAAGAATGTCGAAATATTGAAAAACCAACATTGGAAAGGTTCGACAAGAGTTTGAGAATAGATTATAACTGACGATCAAAAATGAGTTGCTGTCGAGTCGGCTTTGGAAGTTGAATACGATTTTCCATGTTTATTTTTTGATTTGCACGATAATTACTAACCTAAATGTAATGCTATTTGGTATGGTTGGAAAGCATTTTTTCAGAGCTTTCCAATGACGTATCACACATGGGGAGTCACTATTTAAGATTTAAAAGTTGGGGTGGCTAGGGCGCAGGGGGTGTGAGGGGGTGCGTCGCCAACTATGTCATTGTGATTCCCCCTCCGAATTACCGACACGTATTTTGATTTTTTTAAATATCTCGTTTATTTACTAAGATATGGGGGGTGGTAAGTTTTCAAATTGTCACCCTGTATATGCACACGTATACAAAACTATATATGTTGCATAATTTCTAATAAAAAAGGAATTAAACATCAATTAAATCAATAAATCTTCCTTTCGGCTTTTGCAGTATGTTTCATTATCGCGTCCGTTATAAAAATCCGAAAGAATGTATTAAAAATTGAAATTAAAATCGATTAAATCTAACAAAAATTTAAATACATCTTAAAATATGCAATTCTATCAAGTAAATGCAAAGGATATCAAAATATGCAAGATACGCAAAAATAAATTCGGTTTAATAAATATTGCAAACCGAAGATACACAAAATCTCATAAGACAACCAAAAGTAAACGATTATTCACAGCTTTAGCTGATCAAACAATTGAATTAAAATAAAAATAATTACTAAATACAAAAATCATTGAAGTTACGTCTATAGATATATTGTAGCTGAAGAGCCATGATCAAATAACAAATGATGATGAAATTGGTATGTGCGGATTATGTTTCTAAACCTTTACTTCTCTACTTTAATTGAATCAAATACGGCTTTTAGCCATAACATCAGCAAAGAGTTTGTTAATATTGATGGAAAGGTGTATACTGTGCCGATAATTTGACATAAGTAGATTATATAAAACAAAAAATACATTGGAAAATTGTACGTCAAAATCAAAGAGATGCAATTCCGGAAGCAGCAAAAAGATGAAAGAATACCCTAAGTTTGGCTTCCATATCACCTCACGTAGAATTACCAACCTGGCTCTTGACAACTACCTACCATTACGTAATGCTAATAACTTAATGTGTACAAGCGCATGCAAACTGCAAACTTGTGGATACGTCACTGAAGAAAAGGAAGAAGGAGCAGATTTTAGTGTATATGAAACTTTTGAAAGTAACGAGGGGTTAATTTAGTTTTCATTAAATGTTAAGAGGTAAAAAAAATTCCGTTCGTTTACTTCATGCATTAGTTACTAATTGTTGATTTTATCGGAAATGTAGTTATGACAATATTGTAGCACACACAAAAGCTTTCATTTAAGAAAATGATGAAGTCGGGCCAATAATTCGAAAGATAGGTATAGTTAATTTTATAAAACTCAACATCCGCCATCTTGGATTGGCCGCCATTTCTATTAGCTACCACTTTGAGATGGCAATTATCGTTTTTTTCCGTCCTAATGTATGTGTCTAACCGTGGTAAAAAGGAAAATTGGTACCCCCAAATTATACCATTTCCTTAAATTTAGCCAGGTGGCCCATAGACTATATGAGACTGTACCATGGGTACGAATTACCACCAAGTATGAAGAGTTTGATCACGAATATGAACCAATGATTTATACGGCTGGTCAAATATAATTATGCAGAGGTACGAGAAATCCCCGAAATCCCTTTTCCTGCACCATCATCTCGACCATCATACTCAGACGATACTGCCAGCGAGGCTAGGAACGACAATAATTACATGGAAAAGGAGATAAGTGTAGTAGCACCACCGGTGCTGAAAATGAAGTGAAAGAGGATGTTTGGTATTGGTATATGTGAGGAGCAAAATATTTTCTTATTGATTAGTGGGTAAATTGCTCAAATGATTACGTAGGATTTTGTTTTGAGTAATGATTTACAACTCACAATGTATATTTGATATATGTACAATAATTCACAAGATATCGATGAGTGGCTCAAATTTTAGTAGGATATTTGCGAGGATACTTGAGTAAAAATTATATATGCGATCGTTCCCGCACGCCAGAAATGGAGTGATTGTGGGCACCACACCATCCCAGTTCACATTCAGAAATTATAAAACAAAATGGTAATTTTCCATGCGAAAATATGTACACAGACATAGTATTAAGTAAAACCTAGTATAGCCGCTGTATCTATACTAAATTAATAATAAAATATACTAGTAGCAGCAGATACGATCGTCAATATAAAAATGTTTGTCAATAAAGTAGATCCATTGGCCTTATCTAAAGCTTCTAATAATGCAGGACCATTCGCTGAAAACCATTCCTTATTCGTTTTGGCGATTTCTAGTGCCCTTTTAAATAATGATTTGTCATGGGTGACCGACAGCCTTGTCAGCTAAAGAAAAAATGTTATCAAAAATAATTTAAACCAGAAAGCATACTTGTTCAAATTGATTATCTCCGGAGATGCGCGAAGCTATACCATTTAAAAGGTCTTCTATATTTTCAGATCTAAAAGTACAAAATAGCTAAATGGCAAAAATGCCAATTAAGATTCTACCTTTGTTGTAATTTTTCAAACTTTCCTTGTTTCAATAAAAGGTTTAAAACAGCCTGAACCCCCACACCTCCTCCTGTATAAACTGACGGAAAAACTAAGTCAGGTCCAAATACCGCATCTTTTTCTAAAGCGGAATTAAGGTAACTGCAATATTTAGACGATTTTCGAATTGTTCCTTTGCTTTTTTGCCTTACCTATGCAAAATCTCTTCATTTTCACTGCATCCCAATGAAGTTATCATGGCAGAACGCAAATCTCTATCATCTAGTTTTAATTCTTTAGCTGCCTTGTGCAGTGTGCTGTGATCATGTTTACTACCCACTCGCATTGCACCGCAAAATACTGAAAGTTGTAAATTAACCGGTATAATTGCTTTACGATCCTTCCAAGCCCTAAATTTATCCAAACACGTTGATCTACAATCCGCATGGTCCATTTTACATATCCAATTCAGTACGTTAATTCGATTTAATTTATCCGTGTGTTTGTCATTGACATTTTCATTAAAATGAAGCTGTTTGTAGGTGTCTTGTAAAACATTATTAACGTATTCCTAAAACTGAATTGTTAGTTTTCGCCGTATGGTACAAGGCTTTTACTTTTAATTTATCTCTACCATTGGTTGAATAAAGTATATTATCTAAGTACCCGATGGCTCTATAGAAAGGATAAAATGCAACGTAGTCCTTTTCTTGTTTGAGGTATAGTCCAATAGATATTGGTATATCATAAGCCAACTGTCGGGACCGAGCCAACATAAACGTGTCGTCAATGATTTGAGCCCTGTTAAGGACATCGATTTTGTTATGGTCCCCAAGCAGTGCCTTTTTGATAAGGTTCCAGTTCTTTTCGTCATAATTTACACGGTAGTATCCTTTAAATTAAAATGTAAATGAACGAAATGGTAAACTTTGACTGTACCCGTCTGCTTTTTATTCGCAATGATCCAATCATTGTCGCTCACATATGGAACGGTTACGAAATCCTCGCCCCCTGTAAGCCATACATCGGGCGTAGTTCTGTTGAAAGATGGATAATTGGCACTTACAAAGTTTACAGGAATTGTCCATACTACTTTTGGTGGGTTTTCGCCTAGCATTAAGAAACGCGCCTAAAAAGAACTTTGTGTTCAATTTTGATGAGGAAGATTAGTTGCATACTTGTGAAAGATGCACGTTATTTTCCGATTGTCCGTAATCCCTAGTGACCGTAACCAGGGGATATCCCTTTTTATTTTCCCACGTGGACATAATATCCGCAAGTGAATGTGATGCTGGTAGCGTTGTATCCCACCCGTCTAGTATTTCCTGCATTGCCTTATACAAGAGTAATGGTGTTGCAACTTTATATTCCCTTCGGTGAGCGTGTTTAACAAATTGGAAAGTATTGGAAGTAGGTACTTACATTTTCGTCAAATAGTTTCTAATGGCTTTTTTGAAAATTGGAGTTGTCATGAAACCATCCATCATGCGAACAATTGCACCTCCTAAAATAAGTAATTGACAGTAAATGTTGATGTTAAATACCCATATTACCTTTATTATACGCAATTGTATCGAAAAGTGCCCAAATTTCATCGGGACTTCCTGCATCCATATTTAATTCCCTTGTGCTAGTGAAACTGTCATCAAAAAGGACACTCTGCACGGATTTCACCAAATATTGTTTCATTATATCCATATCTGGATTTACCTATAAGATGGTAGTAGTTATGGATTACTTAAGAAAAGTGTATACCAAATCCGCGGCAATATTCTCGAAATATGTTGCAAAACCTTCGTTCAACCAAATGTATTTCCACCAAGCCGGGCTAACCAAATTGCCAAACCACTGATGAGCGTACTCATGCGCAATTATCGTCGTTATGGATTGGTGTCGTAATGCAGTAGTCTCTTCCGAACATAACAATGCGGACTCTCTAAAGTAAATGCTAGATGTGAACTGTACAAGCAAACATTATTTACCGATAGATTACTAATCCCCAGTTTTCCATGGCGCCAGACTTAAAGTACTCATCGGGAACCGCAGCTTGATCCATTTTGTCTAAGCCGTAAGAGACCCCTAGGTACTCTTCTAATTTTTCTAGTGTAGTTTTTCCTATGCGTTGAGCACACGATGCCTTTCCAGCATCAATGTCCTGAGGTTTGGCCAGAACTCGATGATCTCCTTTATCTGGGTTTAATTTCATTTCACTTATAATAAAAGCAACAAGATACGTTGACATTATGGGACTGCGTTGAAATGTGTATGTATTCTCAAAGTGTCCGGCTTGCTTAGTATTACTAACAGCTACATATTTCTGGGTTGGTGTTATGAGGGTTACGTCAAATTTAGCTTTATATTCCGGTTCATCGAAGCATGGAAATGCCCGACGAGCACCGGTCGGCTCGAACTGGGTAGTTGCAAATTTTCTAAAAGAATTACAAAGTATAACCATACACTTCGTATCATGTCGCAGTCGAAGAACTAGGTTGGAGAGAGGTTACAATAAATTTAAATTCTCGAGATCGTTTATAACTTTGCATTACTGTCTGTCTGTCTGTATGTATGTCTGTTCATCTGTCTTTCTGTGTGCACGATAGCTGTGTTTACAAAACATTCGATTGCCTTGTAAATTGGTACTCACGTCGTTCTTATTTATTTATTTGTTTAGCCAAATACCATACAGAATGCAAGTATTCCAATTACATGGCACTGGGATGCTGTATTTAAGTTCTTGAGGATATAAGAAAGATCGCAATTGTTTTTCAGCTACTTAGACTATCGGGTCAAAAAGTTACAACCCAAAAACTATCTCGAGGATCGTTCGGTTTTCAGTTTTACAGATTCATTTCAACGGAAAACATGCCAAAGGATTGGCCGTAGAAGAGAATTTTAAACATTATGACCATTTTCATTTTGCCTCTTCGTTTGCTTTGAAAATTCAGTTTGAAATGGAAAATGTGTCATGATGTAATGAAATTTAGAAACTGTATATTTAGTGTGACTGAAGGTAACGGTTTGTGGAGCAGCCCAATTGTGAATTTTTCACGGTGGACCTTATAGTCGCGTCAATGCACACATAAAAAAGGTAATCTTCGGAAGTCCTTAAGAACAGCTCCGATTTTGTTGATTTTTTAAAAGTGTGGTTCTTTTATATTATTACTTAAAATCAGAAGCCTTTCAGGGTGGGGGAAGGGGGAAATAATTATTTCTATTGTTTAAACAATATATAAGTTAAACTAATAATACAAATAAATACAAAAAAAACTTCGAGACCAAACGAGAGTCTCAATAGGGTTGAAACTCTCGCCGAGACTCATAGTTAGACTCGCCGAGACGAGACGAGACGAGTCTAAACCTCGGTCACGTGTTGAAAATTCACTGTGTAACCTACGCATATTTCTCGACTCCCATGAAGCCTTTTAGAATGTAAATATTAAATTATTATTTCAAACTTCATTTTAACATCTATTTTTTATAAACCTCTCTCCAGGAAAGATTGCCGGTCACAGAACAGAAAAGACTTCGTTCAACATTGGAACGGTCCTATTCCGGAAGTCGCTCGCATCTTAAGAAAAACATAGATTGTAGATTGAAATACGGTGTACTGTGACCGGCAATATTTCCTGGCGAAAGTAATATTATAATTAATATATGAAGAATTTTTGTGGAAAAAATCACGTAAAACTGACTTTTTTTTTATATAAATAGCATAAATATTGTATAAAGAATATAAATAATTATTTCCGCCATCTAGAAGGTTTCTGATTTTAAACAATATAAAAAAACAAACATTTAAAAAAAGAATCATCCAAATCGAAGCTGTTTCCGAGGATTTCAAAAAAAAAACCTGCATTGACGCGACTACTAATACTAATACTCAATATTGAGCAAGTTGTCACAATAATGCTGCGTTTATTAATAATTTCAGTATTTCTTTCTCTTCTACGTTTTGCCTACATTAACCTCTCGAAAAAATGAAGATATGAAATAAAATTGATTTTTAAAGGGGTAACTGGAATGAAAGTATAGCTATTGTAATTTACCTGCTGGTCCCTGAACTATCTGTGAAATATGCGAGATAAAATCCGCGATTGTCGATTTGCAGTTTCCCATCATAACGTTTAAAAGAAATGAGATATTCTTCGCCTGCTTTCAGATCAGTAGCCGGTGTGATTATTAAAAAATGCTTCTCTTGCTTAAAATCAAGTTCTTTTACTTGGATTTTAGTGCCATTAGGCACACTCGTAATTTCGATGTTTTTCTTTTCAATTATTAGGTCATCATAGTGAAGGGTGATCGTCGAAGTATCTACCAAAGGTTTTACCGTAATTTCTGCCTTTCCCCAAAACGTGTTTTTCTCGAAATCTGGTGCTATGGTCAATCCGTACAAAGACGGCCGAAGTGTTTTTGGTAAAAAGTAATCAGTATCACTTGATCTTGGTCTGGCTATTTCTGGATGTACCAATGGATCTCCAGCAACACTCTGGGCTAGTAGGATCCCTAATGCAATCCACAACATGATTTTGCTTATGCTATGTCAAATAAATTAAAAAAAATTAATAAAAGCGTAGGTACGCTGGTAAGGTAGGTAATGAATTTAAAAAAATTCGACCACTTACCAGTGAAAATTATAGGTGTACTAAACCGAGATAATTATTTCGTTGAAAATTTATCATTTATTTATCAATACTTAATACCAGGTCGTATCAGTTTTTTATCTACCGCGCATCATTGAGATGTATAGAATCTTTTGAGTTGTATTAATCACTTATACTAATACTTACTTATAATAATACTAGTTTCATGAAATTTCGATACCATTATCGCATTTGATCCGTTAACACAACGTTAATAAAAACTTGTACAATAACATTAGTACAACTTTTTTGATATTTTAAGAATTGGTTTAGTTGTCCTCAAAAGCACGCAATTTGGTGTCTCATCTTCCGTTGAACTATTGCACTTCCCGAATGTCTAATACGTTCACAATTTTTGTTCATTTTGGTCTTCCTATCCGTTGTCATAACCTTTTCGACACAGTAACGATCAAAAATCTTCGATTGGTTGCGCTTGTGGTACCTTTGGGGATTTATCTATTTTCGGTACAATCACTTGATCTGCCGGCACATTAGCACGACGCAAGCTGTACGTTCAGGTATAACAACTTGGACACTATTTGACCCAACATTGATAGAGTTGTGTCATCCAAAAAAACATGATTGGATCGAGGGTGCCTACTTATTGTTTGAAGATCTTAGATTGCACTACTCCTAGACTGCACACCTCTACACGGCAGTGCAAAACAGAATGTCCTCGAGAATATCTGATCGCAACTAAATTTGGAATCGAAGTATCATTCTTCATTTGACGTCAGTTTCATTCGTCTAATAGTGATGCGTTTCGTAAATTGGAATTTCGTTGCCTTATTTTGCACTTTTGGATTAACATTTTTTGCAATCAAAAACAGACTAAATAAGAAAGTAATGGTTTAAGTATAATGTCAGGACAATAAATATTCGCGGAAGAAAGAATCAAGTAAACTTTAACCACATGCATATTCCCTATTATAGTTATTACTTAAGTGAGATAATAGAGATGAATAGGATCAAGGATGATAATAATGTTCTTGATATAAAAAGAACGTCAATTGCACATGCAATTTTGTCTGCTGTAAGACCACTGTCCTTTTTGATCACCCCCTCAAGTTGGATTGAATGTAACGTTACACAGAAAATTTGGGTCCAGGAAAGTTATTGATTTCTGTCATACTTAAGATGTTTATGGAACGTGTCACAAAGTACAATTATATGAAGCCTCAGCTCTTTCTCAAAATTCCGCTGTACTCAGTACTGAGTGAGTGATTTTAATACAGCAACTTTGACAGGTGCAGGAACTTTCCATAATCTGGGAGGAATTAGTATTGTAACTCCTTCAACCTCGGGCATCTTTTCCACTATTAAAAAAATAGAAGAAAACATTATTGGGTTAGGAGGAATAATAGATTTCACCCATTTTTAATAGTCTTGTTACATGTGGTATATAGGCTAACTGTGCTACCGAGTCGGTCCAAGCGTTTACCAATTTTGGAGTTCACATACAGACAGATACCATGGAGCGACCTATAGCTTGCATCGCTTTGCTCTTCAGATATATAGATACGGACCATGTATAGGCACCACTTTTATATTTGTTACTTTTTATTCAATTGCGGTTAATAATGTAGGCCAAGCAAGTAACTTGTATTTAAGTATTTAGTGTAAAGGAAATTGTGAAGTTTTTGTTGTAGGAAGTGACTCTTTAAAAAGTCCAAAAACCCGCTTTTTTTTGCCATAAAGAATGTGGAAGATTCAGTGGTTCCACATAATCTCAGCAGAAATATCAAAATCGCATGGAAACTCCAAAGTTCGATTTTCGTGGGTACAATCTTATCCACAAAAATGCGACTTTTGTGAAGATAAATGTATCGCAACTGCTTTAGATAACAACGCTTTTTGAGCATTTACCTTAAAGATGCCCTTCGTACTGTTTATCAAAACGTGATAGTCACTAAAAATGATGTCACTCAATACACATTCTATGGAATACTAACTTATTTCTAAATGTTCCAGAAAAAGGAAAAATAGATCTCCTTGTACCTTGTACCTAACCACTCACTTTCGCTTCAGGTTCTGTTATATACAAGCTTCATGCCATCGATCCAGACGGCGACAATTTGAAATTTGGTGTAAAACAGCAATCTGGAAGTGAAGTAATTAGGGTCGAAACGACGTCCGCAAACGAAGCTAATGTATACCTGAACCAAGAATTAGATCGAGAAGTAATCCTCTTTCAAATAATTCCTTATGTTACACTGATCTTTAGGTACGCGACGAATACGCAATAGTACTCACCTTAACAGATGGCCGTCTTGGAAGCGGAAACTATGTCACCCAAAGTCTATTGCTGCTGGTAGAGGATGTTAACGACAACGTTCCCATTTTTAAACCGTATCAGTCGACCATAATTCTGCCGGAAGACTCCTCGCCTGACGTTATAGCAACTCTTCAAGCGACCGATGCCGACGAAGGTGCTTATGGACAGGTGGTTTACCATATGCAAGGGAGCCAGTCTTTATTTTCCATCAGTACAGTTTCCGGGAGCGCTGTATTGCGTTTAATCGGTAAATTACCGTTTTTTCTGATTTTAAAACGTTAGCGTCTGGTTTGTAGGTAGTTTGGACTATGAAAAGCAAAGTCTGCACCAGCTCAAAGTTTTAGCGATCGACAGAGCGAAACAAGGAAGAGTGAATACTGGTACCGCAGCATTGGTGGTGAAAGTTCAGGATGTTGACGATCAACCACCTGAATTTGTCCGAGTGCAATCCGTTGCACGAGTGTCTGAGGATGCTCCGATTGGTACTTCAGTTCTGCAAGGTTTAGTTAAATAATGCCAACGTGTTTTTATCGGTAAATTGTAGTGAAAGCTGTCGATGGGGATAGAGGGATTAACAATATAATATCATATGCACTAACTTCGAACGACATCTCCCCTGCACTGGCAGAGTTGTTTGCGATCGAGGAGCATACAGGTGTAGTTTATACAAAATCAAAACTTGATAGGGAGGCGCTTACATCAAATTCTGGAGCGTATATTTTGCAAATTATGGTAGCACATTAGTTGTGTAAGCTATAATACTTAGTGTATTCTTTAGGCTGTGGAGCAGAACAGCCGGCTTGATCCACAACCAAGCGCTGTGACAGAAGTGACAGTGATGATAACGGACGTTAACGATGAGAAACCGCAGTTTCGAAATTCTCACTACGAATGCGAAGTTTCCGAAAATGTGCCGAACAACACTCCCCTATTATTTTCCCCCAATTTTACACCGGAGGTGTACGATCGCGATCAGGTAATTTCTAGTAAAATGCATTAGTGGCTGAACTTTTCTTTAGGGAAACAATGGCACCTTTATATTAAGCATTGAAGGCGCTAATAATATTTTCGAAGTGATGCCGAGGAAAATTATAAACGAGGCAACTTTCACTATTCGTGTCAGAAATTCTAGTCATTTAGATTTCGAGCAATTGACAATCATAAATTTCACACTGGTGGCAAAGGAGGTTGTTGCGGATGATCCCCACATGGCGAAAGTTCCCGTTACCGTCTTCATTCGTGATCAAAACGATAATTATCCGGAGTTCACACAAGAGTTGTATGAGATTTCCATTCCGGAAAATTCTGAAGCTGGAACAACAGTTGCATGGGTCCAGGCATTGGATGACGACTCTGAGAATTATGGTACCCGTGGGATACGGTATACAAATTTAGCTGGAAGCATTCAACATATGTAAGTACACTAATTTGTTACCACTTTATACCGGATGTTCCTAAATATGATGTCCACACGGAAGGGGATAATTCTTTCATACTATTATATCTGTCAAAGATAATAAAAACAAGAGATTATTCAAATTAGCGTAATTTTAAACATTTTAGTTGCCTACCGAAAATTGATTTTGGTGTACCAGCGGCTCACTGAAAAAAGTTCAGGAACATTACCTGAAAAAAGATAACCCTGTAGATTCTCACTACCCTTGACATGGCCAATGATGTTAGCCCTTCAGCGCAATTTATATTTTAAATTTGAGCTGAATAACTCAAAAACTGCCGTTTCCCTTATATTGAAGAATTTTTCCATTTTTTTGCATATCAACCATTATGCATATTTTATGTTGTCGCACAGCAAACTGCTTGCTTTTGTCTAGGATCTTGAAAAATCGCGGGAATTGCAGTTGAAAAACAGACGCATCGATTTCCGGTTTAAACGGAAGTGACATGGCAAGTTTCAATATGCGATCGGATAGATCGTAATGTCACATATAAAATTATATTTGAGAAATAATTCGTAAAATCATCATTGAATTCGCTATAGCCTTCGACACTTTTTGTAGTACAGACTATACAGGTAGGTATAGTAAACTTATCATTCTATTACAAACTTTCTTCACAAGGATTTTTATTAGAAGATGTTCTTGACCAATTGTGAATAAGTCATTGTTTAGGACCTCGTGACATTCTCACCTTCATCAAAGAATACTTACTCTTTGCCTTCATATAAAATTTTAATAATTGTTTCTGTCCGCACAATGGTCCAAAAGTATCTTATCAATCTGTTACACAATGTTACATAACGATCTGGATTATCGATTCGAGATAAATCTAAGTAGCTGCGTGTTTGCTTATCTTTTACCGTAGAACGATTAAAAGGTTCCTATTAAAACGCATTATTTTTAAATTTACCAGGTAGGATCTAGGACTCTGTATGCGAATCCGCAGTTCCTGAATATTGTGCGCTATTTTACTTTTTTTTCTGAAAATTCATAAATGTCGAATGATTAAAAAAATACAGGGTGTTCCATTAAGAAAATTAGGTTGTACAATTTCCGGTGAAAGTATGAGCAATATAATATTACTATTATAGTAGTTCATGAAATCATATCAAATTTATAAAAGGTTTATCTGCAGATAAGGAAGATAATTGACTATTACGGGACATTTTTCGTGCCCTGTATAAAGCTCTGATTAACATAAGGAGTTACAAGGCCTTTATCATTTCTATAATTAAACATGAGACTCAAAGATTGACACTGCAGAAAAATTGTAGCAGGAAGAAAGATCGACATTTCAATCATTGAATTATAAATAATATACAAAAAATTGAATGTAAGTGACGCGTAAATTTAATTGCGTCGTTTATTTATTTACATGTTCTTAACAATAAATGTACAATAGTCTTAAAATGGATTCATTTATAATAGTCATAAAATGGCAAATCAGCGAATACAATTTATCACTTACAATTTATAGCATAAATAACAAGAAGGCATCGAAGTTGGAACTGAACTGAAATCCGCTACACAATTGGTCTAGAATGTTCTTAGAACGACTCGGAATGTTTTACACATATCATTTTTTTCCAGAAGGATTGCGTCACATCCGCCTTCGGTCTTTATCGCCCATGATTTACTTTTCATGGCGGCATGATTTCTATCGGGATTTGTGGAATATTCGCTACACTGTCCTCTAAAAATTGTTGCGCAACACAGACGACGGTTGTCGCGGAGTCACAGTACAGTCCCAGGTAACCCTGGTCCTAAAGCACGAACTTGATGGCGGTACTTGCACGACGAATAAAGCAATCCACCGTCTGACGAATCGGTTGCGGGGTTCCCCCTGTAGGAAACACACTTCACCAACCTCGGACGTTGAAAGTAAATTTCTTAAGCACCAAAACCGGAATTGAATTGTACGGCAATACCTAAATAGCTCAAAAAAATCTTTAGTGAATTGTGATGGTCTCACCCGCGTCCCTTTCTCCGCTTCTGAATGTTCCTTGGGCTCGTTCTATCCCGCGTATGGAGGCAACCGATTTGTGTGCACCACCACTGGTTTTCCTCGTGGTAGTTTCCGTATCTAAGTCGTGTATTCTCTTAATCAAGGTCTTTGCTACTTCGGAGAGAGCCCGCGCCTCCTGTGTGGACGATACAAGATCTCCCGGTTGATAACCACCAGCTTGGGCCTTCACGTCGTACCACTCCTTCATCTTATCGCTAGTTAACTGCATATTATCGCGAACTTTGTCATGGATAGCGTCTGTCGTAGGTTTTCCACGTACTCGTTTCCCCAGTTTCTTTTTGGCCGGGTCTTGTGTCAAATTTTAAATCATACGGCAAGCGGAGTTCCTTACCAAACAACACGGACGCCGGGCTCGGTCCTGTAGTTCCCTGCATCCTAGAACGAGTTGTCATAAGCAAAGAGTACGTACTCTTTGGTCATAAGGAACAAACGCAGATATTAATCACTAAATTATGACAAAAAAATTTACTCGAATTTTTATGAAATATGTGATATTAGTCACATGATTAAGGGAATTTAAGTATCTTTCCACCCTGATTTACAGATACACGACACGAATTCCTTTTTATAAACATACTAATAATAATAATAATAATGGATACAGACAACGTTGTGGACGTTTGCTTCGGTCAATGTTGTTTGATCCTAAAAGATACCTATATCGCGTGCAGAAATAAAACTGATTATAACGTATGATCACAAGCTTAGCCATACATAGATTCGTATTGCATATCGCTAGAGAAGACCTCATACCCTCCTTCTGCCACTAGTCACTAATCAAAATTTAGAAATGATCCACTGGCCTTCCAATGAGCCATCTTGCATAGCAATCAGCAAAGACCAAGTTGCATTTCTGGAGACATTCTTCGATGATGCCAAAAAATGATGAACATTTAATGTTATTTTAAAATATAAAAGCGATTGCGGAAACTATTAACAGATACGTAGATGAACAAATACTTCGTCTATGACAGCGAATAATAAAGTGTGGGCAATAAAGCTACTTACCTACTTCAGTTTTTTATAAGAATTTTTTTCGCCAAATTAATCTTATTAGAATGTTCACTAACACGCGATAGTTGACTAGAAAAAATTAACTACAGGTTACACTTGCATCCGGTATCTGGCGTAATAACAATAAAAGAAGCAGGTGGTCCAAACTGGGATAGAGAACAAGTTTCGAGGCATTATTTAACGGCGGAAGCACGAGATGATTTAGGCAAAGGAAATCGAAATTCCGTACAATTAATTATTAATTTGGAAGATGAGAATGACAATCCCCCCTTGTTCTCTCGGGGATACTACGAAGCACGCATATCTGAAAACGAAGATGATTTCGAGCATCCGCTTCGAATTGAGGCTCGAGATTCTGACTTGAACGGTATTAATTCTAATTGTTCGCAACAGCTTTGGCATCAATGCGATATTTGCAGGGACCAAAAACAGCGAAATAGAGTACGTGCTCTTTGGCGACTTTAAGCACAATTTTTCAATAAATACAGTCACGGGATTAATAAAACCCAAACGAGCGTTTGATTTTGAAGAGTTAACTGGTTCTGCAGACGAACACGTGAGACCACTACATCTCACAATAAGAGCCAAAGATTGTGGTACACCGAGTCTTGCATCTGACGTTCCCTTAATAATATATGTTCACGACATCAATGACCACAAACCTTACTTTGAGTACTCGTTTTATAACACAACCATACCAGAAACAGCATCGGGAGGAACACACGTCTTGCAGGTAAGTACTCGCCACCTACCAACGGAATTTATAGCAAACCTTCAGGTGCATGCAATTGATTGGGATGGATCTACCCCAAACAATAAAGTGATCTACCGAATACAAGGTGGTGCTTTTGATAAGTTTATTATAGATTCGGAAAGTGGTGTTATATCAGTGGCACCTGGAGCATCCTTAGATCCTGATTTGAATCATCCTCGCCGGATGCTTTATTCGTTACTGGTTGCTGCCTTAGATAGTGCCCCAGGAGATGCACAACTTTATTCAACGGTTACCGTAAATATTACTATATCTGATGTAAACAATAAGCCGCCCACGCTATCCATCCCTTCAACTTTGAAGTTACGAGAGGATATACAGGTAAGACTCTCTTTAAAAAAGCGTCTCTGATAATCCTAACGGTTCACAATAGCGAAGATCTTTGAATTATCTGCACGCTCCACTTGGTTGTTGAAATTTGTAATTTACACACTTTTAAACATTTGAATTATGTGCGAATGTCGCTGCTTTCCTTACTCCAGAGTGTTCCCAATCGGATGGAACCACATGGGTAACTATATAAATGTTCAAGATGGCATACATTAGAGATTAGACAAATATGAAGAGTTTTGCAGTGTTGTGTACTGACTAATTCCATTTAGAAAATTTGAAAAATTCGTGTTAGATCAAAGGATATAAAAAAAACCGTACATATTCAAACCTAAAAGAATAAATGTCTCTGTTAGTATAAAAGATGTAGCGACGGTTTAATATTAAGATAACTTATTTCGATAGAAAACAAAAATGATGTAAAAATGTAATTGAACATATCGTTTGCTGACACACAAATAGCAACTCTTATACGAAAGGGCGCATTGAATTGTAACATGTCTAAATTAGATATGGTCTGCTAAAGAATACCAGTAAAATTAATTTTTGTGATTAGATAATTTATGTAACTGTTTTTTTCGGATTTGTTCAGTCATCGCAAATAAAAATCTCTATTTAGTACCTAATGCAATATTTTTAAATAATATTATTAAAAAGACAGTTATACTTGAACACCGTAACACACTGGGTGAAATGGCAAAAATTCATTCTGTAAAGTTTTCAGTAATCCTATATATGAATTCATTCTAACTTCCACAAACAGTTACCCGCAATTCTTCTTTCTATCTACAAATAGTGGTAATAGTGCTTTCACTACACCTTTCAGTTTATTCCGAATTTAACTGCAAAAATTGTTCCCCTGTCATATTTACAACTTTTTCCATGTTTCTCGACTTTCCATCCCCATTCTACTGTTAGGTGTACAGCGATTTACATTATAATTTCATATCATTATACAATTTATATGTCTGGTTTCTCGCTTCAGTCCATATCTTTTCCTTTTTTTACTGTGTCCAACCGCACCTTCACACGTCTGCCTTTTCGGCTCCCCTCTCTCTTCTATGAGATTTTCGTTACTAATATTTGAACTTAGCTGCTCGTTTTCTATAAATTATATTATTAGCTGTTCTTGTAATTCTTTTCTTTTTACTGCTTTATGAAATCTGTCATTAATTTCCGGGTCTTAATTTCCGTTGTCGTTGATCTGGATATCTAGTTAGGTGTGCCGTGTCAAGTTCTCCTTCGTCTATGTAGGTCTTTATTTGTTCTTGGAGATTGGCATTACCTTATTACCTTTTTTTGTCATTATTCTTTATTCCATTTCCTTCGGATGAGCTTGAACCCGCCAACTCAGAGTAGTTTCTAGAATGCGCTTGTACTATTTCAATATTATTCTTAACAAGGTAATTGTCTCAATCACGTATGACACCTCTTATATTGTATAACGGTAGAATTATGTTGGCGCTAGTTTAACCCAAGTTTAACCCAGGGCTGAAAAAATTAAAGGGTTGAGATCTTCCACAGCGGTCGATTCGTTTAGGGTATAATAATCTACGGTACCCCTTTACAACTTACCCTTAGTTGAGCGCCACCCAGTTTATTAAGCTTAACTCTCCCTGTAAACATGGAAAATGCAAGAAAATTAACAATAAAATTAACAAAAGAAATACTGGTTTATTCCAAGTAAAATTGTCTCCAACATTAAACAAAGTTTCCCCACAAATACAAAAATGGTCCCCGATGATCAAAATTATTGATTAAAGGTCTCCCAACACAATATGATAACGCTCAATAATTGTTTAGATAAAGAAAATACAAGTACCATCATAAGAAATAAAAATCTTACCAGTGAGTAAATGTGAGCCGAAAAAAAGGCTCTCCACGATGCAACGATCACCTAAAACAAATCAAAAGAGAAAGGAAGTTATCTAACCTGCGAGACCCAGTGATGACTGTTTGAGAGGCCGAATATGATCTCTACTTGTATTCTACGATTCAACGATAAGATAATTAACTCTGGCGCCATTTTGATTTCCTGTTAATAGTAACTTAAATCTTTTGGTACGGTCATGTTTTCAGTGTCCAGTTGGAAACAGTTCATAAGATCGCTTTTTCTTCGTCTGTTGCATATTTATTTTCGAGAAAAGAGAAATAAATCCTTGAAATTCAAAGAGAGCCGATAAAAAAGGTTCGCAGGGTTGTTATAAATTCTCAAGGTTTTGTCGCGAAAATACCAACCCCGTACTCCCATCTCGAATGTCATACTGCGTTTACATCAAACGTCAGTGACGAAGGTTTTTCAAATAGAACACCCTTCGTACTCTTTTAAACAGAAAATACAGAAAATCTGATTACATATTAAATTTTCTATATTTGAATTAAAACATTCTGTTGAGGGGGACCAAGAGGGAGGGTCACTGAATTTAATTTTGCATCACTCGTCAGTTCGTCTTGGCGAAATAAGAAACATTCACATTAAACTTGTTTTGTGACCGGGGCACTTAATGTTCCAAATCTACTAAACATTTTGCCGCGTTACCGTATCTTCAAAAATCAGAAAATTAACCATGCAATCCCACCCGATCTGGGACGATGACGCCATCATTTTTCCTAATTATTCTATATAGGTTGGCAGCATCGTAACCAAGCTAGAAGGTCAAGATCTGGATACATCTGCATCTTTGCGATATACCCTAGACCCACTTAGGTGTGAAGCAAAAACGGAGTATGGAGTGTCTTTGTCGGCTGCGGAGTACAACTGCCTTAGCATCTTTAAGGTCGGCCAATTCGACGGCTCACTAGTAATTGCGAAACCATTAGATCGAGAAGTGGCGGAGCAGTTCTACTTGGGCGTCCTAGTTGAAGATATCGCATCTGAAACGGACCTACAACAAACTAAAGGTTACCATAACAATTACCTTAAACGATAAACTGACGATACGAATTTTAGCTTCTCTGACAATTGAAGTGTTGGATGTAAATGATAATAATCCCAAGTTTCGTAAGTCCCATTATCGCTTTACTGTTACGGAAAACAGTAAAAATGGCGTTGTTGTTGGGAATGTCATCGCCGACGATTTAGACAAAAATAAATCTATAACGTACTCATTGGAAGGGTCGGCTCAGTTGCTCGAATTCCTTCATTTAGATTCTAACTCTGGAGAACTGGTTGTTGCCAACAAAATTGATCATGAAGCGTATCAATGGTTGAATTTAACGGTATAGAATATAGTGGGGTTTGTTTCGTGTTAATCCCTAATCCTAGGTAAAAGCTGTAGATTCCGGGTTACCACGGCGTTCTAGCCGAGTAGAGCTTTACGTTCAAGTATTAGATGAAAACGACAACAACCCATATTTCTTGCCGGAACCCAAAGAGCTGATAGTTACTGAAAGTATATCAATCGGGGAAACCATCGGAACCGTCCAAGCCCACGACTTGGATTCTGGGGACTTCGCGAAGATAACGTACTTACTCGACAGAGTTAGCTCTCAAGTACGGTCATCGCCGTCGTAACTTCCAACTGATGATTAATTGTTGCAGGGAAAATTTTCCATCAATCCAGAAACTGGTGAAATCAAGGTGGCCGATTTTTTAGATCGCGAAACAAAAAGCTCGTATTTCCTCATTTTGGAAGCCTGGGATAATTACCAGTACGGTTACTATAACTCCGAAAGTCGAAATGCGTTTAAACATGTTAAGTAAGTATGCACTACAGTCGCGGTTTAACAGCATCGTGATTTAGTGTGACAATTTCTGATGTCAATGATAACACTCCCAAGTTGCACTTGCCATCATCGTGCGTGAGTGTTACCGAATTTCACGAACCGCTACAGCCAATCACAACTATCCAAGCTTCAGACGATGATGATCCCTCAACGGTAAATGGGCAAGTTATGCTTGACATCTCCGATGGAAACCTGTACGATACTTTCGAACTACAGCAAATAGACAGGTGGTCGGCACATCTACACTCCTTAAAACCGCTAAAAGGACAACACGGAAATTACACAATCACAATACGCGCCCAGGACTTGGGGCATCCCAGTCTTTCAGCTGAAGCACCATTACAACTTTGCATTACAGATTATAATGACCACGCGCCCTTTTTTGTAACGCCTCCCCACAACTCAACTTTAAAAGTTCCCGAGGTATCCTTGTTCCAACAAAAGGTGGTGTGTTTAAAGTTACCTTACAGAATGCCACTGTTGGAAGCGCTTTAATAAAAATTGTTGCAATTGATGATGACGTTGGTGGAAATGGTGCTGTACGATACCGGTTAAAAACTGACCCAGCTGGTCACTGGAAAGCATTTAATCTGCAACCCGTATCGGGAATCCTTGAACTTCGACTACCTTTGAACAGAAAGAAACAGAAAATTTACGATGTAAGTAACTCACATTCTGTTCAAATGACTGATGATTCCTCTAGATTCGAATAGAAGCTTACGATTTAGGAGAGCCATCGCTAAGCTCCGATCTCGATTTAACAATCTACATCAGTAATATCGACGATTATCGCCCACAATTTACCACGGACGACTTTTTCCTAAATTTCACAGGTAATGTTACCTATAACGAGTAAGAAAAACTATATACTGACTTTAGAAAACGAGCAAACTGGGGTTGAAAGTTACAAGTTGCCCGATACAATAGACAGAGATGAGCTTGAATTCGAAGGTCCATTTGCTCCCATTTGTTACCATATCGTTGGAGGAAATGAGGAAGGATTGTTCAACTTACATGCAACTTCACACGAACTAACCGTATGTTAAGCATTTGCATATAAATTCTATTATATTGTTTTTTTTGCAGGTGAATACTCCACTTGATCGAGAAAGGAGGGACACTCATGTACTTCTCGTTCAAGCAACCGAGGATTGTGCGTCACCCCCAACAAACCTAACTCTCTTTGATCCTCACGACGACACTTTGCTGAAAGTATCCGTTAAAGTGTTAGATATCAACGACAATGCGCCGGTTTTTAGACATCGAATTTTTACGGGAGGTGTTAGTACCGCTACAGACTTTGGCACAGATTTTATGACTATCATTGCCGACGACCTAGATGAGGGAATTAACTCAGAGTTGTCGTACTATCTAATAGGGAAAATACGCATGACACTAACAGAAGGTTTGGAAAATTTAGGTACGCACCCCTTTTTGGTTGACCGGTTAACGGGAAACGTACAACTTAATTTTGATCCGCAACAAGGGATGAAAGGGTATTTTGATTTTATGGTGAGTGCTCTCATTTAAAGAGCAACGTTCTCATCTATCTCACTCAGGTACTTGTAAACGACACAGGAGGGCTGGAAGATAGAGCGCACGCATTCATTTATTTACTCCGAGAAGACCAACGCGTCAGGTTCGTGCTTCGACAGCACGCTGCCGAAATCAGGAACCACATGGAAGCTTTTCGAGAGTAAGATAAAATGTATAGTTGCCAACGTAAACGTTCGGTTAGGGTTTTAGGCAATGTAACTGGAGCATTTGTCAACGTCGACGAATTAAAAGTTCATACCAACCACGACGGCACTGTAGATAAAACTCGTACAGATGTTTATCTACATCTGGTAAATAGGCGCGATAATTCGATTTTGGAGGTGGATGAGGTCTTACGATTAATTGATCAAAACACAGAGAAGCTGGATTATTTGTTTAAAGTGGGCAAATAGTCACTCGAATATTTTTCACATGCATTCTTTCAGGAGTTCAATGTTCTTGATACACAACCTGGAGGAAGTTACGCTTTGATCTCTACAAGAAACCCAACGGAAAGCGTATTTTGGTTAACAGCGATGTCTCTGTTTCTGCTACTTCTGTTGCTTCTATGCTTAGCTCTCTGTATAAATCAACGACATACGTACCAAAGGAAGTTGAAGGCAGCTACTGCTACAGCTTATGGTAAGTTTTATTGCATCTAGTAGATTGGGTTTCATATGTAGGTACCTTAGGTGGAGATTCTGAAATTGACGATCGCGGAGTAAGCGCTTTAAGCGGACGGGTACCGAATACTAACAAACACAGTATGGAAGGTAGCAATCCCATTTGGCTGCAGGCTTATGAAAATGAATGGTATAAAAGTGACGAATTAAGGTAGTTTATCAACTTCACCATAAAAAGTGTTAGTTTCTTGTTCGCAGCTGTCAGGGAACTGATCGAGACTCTCTAGACGAAAATGTTGTCAGTGGAAGTGGAGACTCAACTTGCTGCATTAATAATGCGCATGACCAGATCATCAATTGCATTCAAAATGTGTATCAAACGCTACCACCGATTCCTCCACCTCGAAAATTGGAAACAACTGAATTGTGATCTGTCAATAAAATAATACTTAAACGTAAATGATACAACGACATGTAGAGTTAGGATTTAAAGCTTGTATATATTGATAACCGTATGTATATTTCAACAATACCAAAGAAAAGTCATTTGAATAAACTAGTACGTAGAGTATGTTGGTCTATAATTGTTACTAATACCTAATTTTCTCTGCCATGGTCAATCCTTTCTACACAGACTTTTTTTTTTAGGAAAATGTCCTTCCTCTGTGGAATTTCAGTTTAAGATCGATAGAGTTAGGTATCCTTGCCTTTTGGGGGACCGGCAAGACAAAGCAAAATATTACCTTTGGAAGTGTCATTACAGGCTCGTAGATCAGTAGGTGACTGAACTGAATTTCAAAATCCTTGTTTGGTGGTCGTAAGAAATCGGGAAACGGCCAGATTTTTTCAATTACAATAAAATACAGACCACAACTCAGTGGCGTATAGAAGGGGGGGCGGAGGGGCGGTCCGCCCCCGGCGCCACTTTAGTAGGGGCGACAGCGTCATACCTGCAAATAATTTCCTGGGGCGCTTTTGAAAGTAGGTAAAAGTAGAAAACGATCAAAAAATCTTGTGTGGAAATACATTTATATTTTGATTTTGTAAGTAACGACAATGACCATCGACGGACATGAAAATGCTTTATCTGACAAAAACTAAGGCGAAAATACATGACGAAGAGACTTCTGGTATACATACAAAGGTTTAAATTTCTGTTCTCAATACTCCAATCTTTTAAACAATTCAAATATCATTACCGTCTTTGAGATTCTTGCGATTCTAGGTTCGACTTCAGAAGCAGTGCCAGGGTATAACCTTTTTACCGTATTAAAAAAAATACGTTGTTTTCTGGCTGCCTCTCTACCTGTCTGTTTGTCTTCATTGGAGGGTGTTCACCTGGTACATGGACCATATAGGTATCAAACTAAGGCTTATAGATACAATGTCAAGAGATGAACCACCCCCCTCCTCTCTGTTTAAAGTAACCACCTTTGATGCACACGTGGCTGTATCATAATAAAACCTAAGGTCCAAAGAACATTAAATTTTGGCCAAATTTCACAACTATAAGTTTTCTTATTTTTATTTAACCTAGATTGACTGGGCTATTGGTCAGCAAGACATTAATTATCATACTATCCCCCTCCTCTTCTTCACAAAACCTGAAAAATTGAAGTTGAAGTCTCACTGACGGCGCTTTATAGGTTACTCATATTCCTTGAAGTGAGACAATTTCCACCTACCTACAAGCATGCACTATCAATCAACTAGAGAAATCTCAAAACTCCTAGATAAATAGTTTATAAGGATCGATAGGTATAGGATATTTTACACGAAATATGTCTAGAATGAATTCACGACTCCAAAAATCCAATAATATTAAGGGTGTGGTATTTAAAATAAGAAACTACAACTACAAATCGCCGTGTCAGATTATTTTCTTGAACATGTCTCATTTATTTGTTGTTCCATTTTGTGATACGCATTGTATATATTTTAAAGCAATACCATGATTTGCTAATCTACGCTTGCATAAAAAAGGTAATTAAACCTTTTCTATTATACGTTTCAATTTCGAAGGTCCGAAGGTGGATTAAGGACGGAAAATACCATTATTTAGAGTATTCAATTGGTTCTTACTCAACAATGCAAAGTGTGTCTGGCAGATATGCACATTACTTTCATATTTTTATCAACTATCGTCAGTTTTATCAGCTAAATTTATTTGAAACTTAAAAATACAAGTTCTATGAAAATGCATGTATGGAAAATCATACCTAAATAAGTGTCGCCGTTACACTGCTCCGATCTCTTCCCTAGTAGTCTAAGCGGTACATATTAAAAATCGAAAAAATCTGACGCGCAATGCAGAAAGCAAGCCACTTGCCATAAACGATGTGTATGTCCAATAGATCAATTTGACCCGTGGCACTCCCTCCCCCCCCCCCCCCTGTGGAACCAATATGGCGGCCATTTAGGAAAAAAACTGTTACTGACTAAAAAATATATATTTATATTTCAAGGATGGCATCGTTTAAGGCTAATTTGAGGGCGCCGATTTCAAATCTGCCACAAAAAAATCAAAATTCAAGCAATTAACACTCTAATTAGTCATTTAAATATTATAAAAATACTTCTTCCAGTTAATATATTTTTTTTTGTTTTAATGTCTATCAAAATCATAAAATAATTGTTGGATAAATAATTAGAATTTTGATTTTGTAAAAAAATACATTTTACTAATAAAAAGTAAAACCATCTTTGGTTTAAAAATTCGTAGAGGGCGAAGGAGGGGAGATATGAAAAAAATTTGCGTTATACGTGATTTGCGAGGCGACGCCGAGCTATAGACCGTTACAAATCAGAGCGAGCGAAGCCGAGCGTATGTCTCATCAAATCCAAAGGTGTTACCAAAATTAAAAAAATCTTTTGTGCAATTATGTGCAGACCTGGATTCAACAAGTTGAATGGACATTTTCAAAAAAATGTCACTTTGTATAGGTGATGTTTCCAAAAAACAAAAATATCCCTCACAAATTAAAAAAAGTTGTCAATTTAGTCTGCTCAATATCATTTTCTTACCCTACCAAAACTGAAACTGAGAAATGGTCTTTATTGAACAGTGAACAGTGCGAGGCGAAGCCGAGCTATGCACCTTTACAAATCAGAGTGAGGCGAGGCCGGAGCCGAGCGGATGTCTCCTCAAAAGCAAAAAGTGTTTAAAAGGGTTAATTAAAAAATTTTATGTACAATTATGTGCAGATCTGAATTCAACAAGTTGAATCCAAATTTTCAAAAAAACCTATGTACCCTCGTATGGACCATTACAAATCAGAACGAGGCGAGGCGGTAAAGCCGCCAGAGACCAGCGTAGGTCTCATCAAAACCAAAAAATGTCCCCAAAATTAAAAAATCTTATGTGCAGAACTTGATTCGACAAGTTGAATAAAAAAAAAAGCCACTTTGTATAAGTGATGTTTCAAAAAAACAAAAATATTCCTCACAAATTAAAAAAAAATGTTAATTCAGTCTGCTCAATAGCATTTTCTTACCGCACCAAAACTGAATCTGAGAAATTGTCTTTGTTGAACAGTAAACAGTGCGAGGCGAAGCCGAGCTATGCACTATTACAAATCAGAGCGAGGCGAGGCGACAAAGCCGCCAGCGCCGAGAGTACGTCTCATCGAAACCAAAAAGTGTTAACAAAAATTAAAAAATCTTATGTGCAGATCTGGATTCAAGAAATTGAATCGAGATTTTAAAAAAAAAGTCACTTTGTATAGATGTTTCCAAAAAATAAAAATATTACTCACAAATTAAAAAAATTGTCAAGTCAGTCCGCTCAATATCATTTTCTTACCGTACCAAAACCAAAAATTGTTACCAAAATTTAAAAAATCTTATGTACAATTATCTGCAGATCGGGATTCAACAAGGTGAATCGAAATTTTCACAAAAAACTCACTTGTCAAGTCAGTCTGCTCAATCATTTTCTTACCGTAAACCGTACCAAAACTGAAACTGAAAAATTGTCTTTGTTGATCAGTTAAAAGTGCGAGGCGAAGCCGAGCTATGGACCGTTACAAATCAGAACGAGTCGAGGTGGCAGAGCCGCCGGAGCTCAGCGTTTGTTTCATCAAAACCAAATTGTGTTATCAAAATTTAACAGGTATAGATTGTGCAGGTAAAGCGCATTTTTTTAACCGAAATAGCTTTTGTTTTGACATCACCAATGGATATATTTCTTGCAGACGTCTCAATCGCCCTTTGTGAGTACCCTGTTCCGATAATCCGTTCTTGAGGTATAAGGGAATATACCCGATCACGATAAGAGGGCTATGGTTGGTAGAAATTAATTCCTTTCGTTGAGACCTTTCATTAGAGTACCATGAAGGGTAAAACTAATGAAAGCTTAAATTTATTACATTTTGTTTTTTTGACCTCAGATTTGAAATTAGTCAAATCGATGTATTGGACATAAAAATCGACCATGGCAAACGGCATGCTTTCTGCATTATTCGTCAGATTTTTCTGTGTACCGCTTAGACTATAGTCCGTTTATACGGTGAATGAAATTTACTGGGACAATGATAACCCCAGCTTCTAAGATAGCTTTCTGTTGGATCTAAGTAAATCTAAATAACATACACAAAATAGCGAAAATTCTGAGACAATAGAGGGAAAGACCAACCTTAACTACATACTTACTTATGTAAGGTATGTTTATTAATTCTTACAAATGACCACCAAATTTCGAGGGTGTTTTAAGAATAGAAATATTCACAAAAAAAAGGGACGTGTGAACTGCACTGTTAGGGTTGTTAATTGGTCTAGGACTCGGGATCAAAAGGTCAGCCCGCCGTTCTAAGAATCCCTTAAAAGAGGGTTGACATTATTTTACTGCATTCATAGTAAATCTGAAAGCCATTGTGAGTGTGTGGGGTGCTCTGATTGATTTAATTAACCTGCAAATAGGTGAGTTTTCACTGAGCGGTTTACTCTTTTACATTCGCATGAGTATAACAAATTGTGTAGTTATTGGCATGAGTAAAAACTGTAATTAAGAGAATCTAAGTGTTCTATTTATTACCAATAGTATCAGTTGATTTGTGATGGCCATTTAACCGTTCTTGGGGAGGTTACATTGCGCGTTCTATCCCTTTGTAACCAGGTTTCAAAAATAAGTTAAAGAAATAGTATACCTATGTAACTATGCAATTAGTGGATGAGAAAAGCTCATTGCGCTGTTTAATCCTCCTGAGCTTATTGCACGTCTCGCTACTATAGTTGGTGGGCGCATTTGTTGCGCGACAGGGTAGTTGGGCGGCTCTTCGCGAATTGTACCCCTTAGAGTCATTTCACAACCCACTGTCCTAAAGGAACAGTTATTTGTATGGCCAATGCGTGTTTAATCGCTTTGTCCATAAGTTGCCGTATTAGATAAAATTGATTTAACACTTTGGCAAATGTGTTTGGGCAATTAACGCTCACAAGGTTCATGCCACGTTTCCGCTAGCCGCTGGATCAGCAAACCCTCTTCGCAAGCCAACTAACATACTTAGGTACTGTGTAGCAACATAAGTACGTAGATTCAATTAACATTAAAATGATAGAAGAACGATCAACGAAATCAATCAATCCCTCAATCTTTCTCCACCTTCCCAACCCTCGTTCCATTCTATATTAAATTCAATTACAACCTCCCTGTCATTTTTAATTTCCTACCCTTACATTTATACCAATGTACAAATTAAGTTAGCCATAATTAATTTTGAATAGCAAAAACAGGGTTTATTTTCAATTGAAACTGTTGTTCATTTGCGGGTTCAAAATTGTACTAACAATCGATTTCGAATAATTTTTCTTTGACGTGCAGCAATGCGGTCTTGGGGCGCAACTCCCGTTTTTTTGTGTTAGTTGGCAGTAGGCACACATTTACGAACTTCAGCCACCAAAACACAAAAGCTGTATTATAATTAATTTGTTTTACTTGCGAAAAAAAAAATTGTGGTCAATAACATTAGTTTATTTTTGGCAAAGAACAGTTTATTTTGCTCTGTAAAAGTTAGTAAAAGTAGAGGCGTTGAAAGAATGATCTTCCTTCACTCAACGGTTGAAGCCGATGCCCAAGAGGCTCGGTTACATAATTCACATATTTGCATTAATTTATATTTTTAGCATATGGGTAAAGCTGTTGATGTCATTGTCTTATATTTAACGACTTATCCAATTCAGTCAATGACAAGGAGGCATACAAAATAATTCAGTAATGATTATTTTTAAGGAATATACGGTAGGTGAAAAGAAAAAGAATGTCAGGGTTACGCGACCGAAATTTTGCGATTGCCTAAAAATGACGCGATATCTCGGTTTAGATGTGTAGTCACATTAGCCCGTTTCACTATTTCTAAGAAGTGACCAAAACTTTGTAACTCGATTGCAAGCATAACTCGCCACGCAAACCGTTTGGTTGAAATGGTGACACGCAGCTTATAAGTGGGAAACGCTAAATTTGATATTAGTTAAAACATAATCGTGTTGATACCGGCTTCAAACGTTTCCTTCCTCGAGTCAATATCTAAAAATCGTAAGTAATCCGCAGGAGATTAACTGAAAAAAGACAATAATTTATTATAGGTTCAAAATGTCAGAAAAAACTTCACCCGATACCGTCCCAGGACTTGGTTTTAAAGACAAGGAGAAGGCATTCGAAACCCTAAAACTTTTGGAAGGTCGAGATCCCGACTATCAACGCCTGGCAATTAAGGGTTTAATAGGACGTGCAAAGCGCACTTTAACATGTAAGTATTGATTCTTATCTCTAAAAATAAGTTTGCCCCTTACTTCCGGCGTCTTACGCGTTATTCTCTGTTAACATGCGCGCGATATTGCCGCCAAATTTTAATTGAATCTAAATAATCCTTATTGCAGTAACAAAAGCCGAGGACAAATTGCAAAACATAAAAGATGCAATGGAAGTATTCGATAAATGGTTACAAAACTTTGAGGACATGAATTTGGGCAAAGAGAATAAGGCGTATTTGCCTTTACCGAGCATAAAAGTTCTGTCATCCTTATTTAAAAAGTATGACGTGCAAGATAAATTGGCAAAAGAGTTTTTAGAGGCTTACAAAAAGGTAGGAGGCGAATATAAGCATTTACGAACTGTATCGAGCGGGGAGAACGAACCTACTTGGGATATTGTGCGTAACTCACAGCTGAAGAATATTCTCAAAGACATTGAAGAGAATAAACCGGATATGTGGGATGATGGCCTACCAACCGAGGAGCATTTAAGGCTCATCGCGTGGGCTTACAGTCCCGAAGCAAGTCATATTAAAAAGAATCTCTCAAAGATGGAAGAAAAACTTAAAGGGGACGACAGTATGGATGATGAAGGTTCTGAAGAAGAAGAGTCGCCGAAGAAAAATAGTAGCAAGAGAAAATCGTCATCGGGTTCAGAGTCATCGGAAGAAGAAACACCCAAAAAGAAAAGCAAGAAATGAAACAATTTTCTAATAAAGGTGTCGATTTGTCATATTATTGATGTTACGGGTTCTATCCTATTATACAACGTGTATATTCCGTAATGATTCGACAGTCATCATTAACAAACAAGATTTTTTTGTTTTCTACTGCTGATTTCATATACACAAACCTAATTCTGATGTTACCTATTTATACCCACTTGAATGTTTACAGGTATAATAAAAGTTATAAATACGCTCTTTTTCATTTTTAATTGCAATAAATAACGTAATTTGAATAGAATTCACTTTGATGGATGGTAGGTGGCATTTAGATGACCGATTCTTGCTACGGTCTTTTCTCAAACGCTACATAATGAGAGTGAGTGAAGGCAGTGATCGAAAATCCGTTGCATTACCGTGTTTTTCGAGGATAGGAGGATATGTTCACTTATTTTAACAATTTTTTCCATAGATTTTTGTTCTATTTTCTCTGTGATTACATGCATAACTCAATTCAGTTACGTTTTTCACACCTGCAATATTTCAAGGAAAAAAGCAATTTTCCATTCTCAAACAATCATACATAAATAACGCTAAATTTATGTTAATAAGCTAATTTGGATTAATCAGGCGATAAAAATACATTGTTGTTTTATATTTTTATTACTTTACACAAATTAAGTAACAATTACATTTCTTATTGGCTCTGACTTACACTTTAAATGTCACTTTCACTACTGCTATCATTGCTTAAGTTTATAATAAGGGGTTGCACAACAACTTGCCACATTTTTTCTTCAACTTTCTCAATATATGTCGAACAGAATTTGCCCAATTTTCATTTCTAACTTTCTGGTATACTTCGGAAATTAAGTTACGAACTTGTGGTTCCTTAAATGAAGAATTAATTTGAGCCACGTATCCTTTCACTTGCTTCCACACCATTTTGATAGGGATCCGTTCGCAGTGACACGGGGTTAATATTAAAATTCCTTCACTGTTATTGCTTTTTTTTCAATTTTTTTCAATATTTTCTAAGATGTATCTATTGAATTCATCTTTGAACTTTTTAGCGACTTGTAATAATTCACATTTTAAATAACCATCAAAAATATCTTTGCTAGCAAACCATTTTTTAATGTGTTCTTTCTTAGAAGCCCTATTAGGGATGAGTTCAAACATCCTGCTGTGATAGGGCGCATTTTCCATTACGACGATGGTTTTTTTCTGGTAAAATGACAGTACCTAAGTTTTGTAAACCACTCTTCAAAAACGTCTCCATCCATATCGTCGTGGTAATCTGAGGAATTTTTTTACCGAGAAAGTTTATCCTGTACCTACAATGAACCCTTACTTCCGACATGAACCAAGAAGAACATCGGACCACGAAAAGTTGGTCCCTATGAGAATACACAGGGGTATCTACCCTCCCTTGTTCGACTTTAACTCACGATTCATCAAGATAATATATGTTATAATCTTCATTTCGATACTTTCGGATTAGTCGAAGATATTTGTGCCGACATGAAATAATTTCTGGTTCTTTTCCTTGCTTTTCGTTTATTCTTCAATACTTCTCATTAAGGTAATTTCTCTGTAGTTACTACAGACCATCGCAGCTTAAAGATTGGTAGATCGGTAACTTTTCCTCCTTACTAAATATTTCCAAAAGTAATTTTCGCTTTCTCCCATATACGAGTATTTAACCATTTCTGTAGTAATTCTGTCATTCCCTGGTGTTTGGCAATTTTTTAATTCTTTTATCACTTCTAATAATAAATTCGTCCATTGTTATATCGCCACTTTCCTGCTTCCTTCCTTTTTCTATATTAAACTTATCTTTTCTCGAACTTGTACCATTTCTGTTGAACAGTCTCCATCCAATACGAGCGGCTTCTAGAAATAGTATTGGAAGAAAGGAAAGAAGTGGTCTACCACTGCCCTGTTTAATGCTTTTCTTGGTTAAACAGACTCCTTGGGATGGATCCAGTTAGGGAGTTACGAATTAGAAAGGATGTACGTTGTGCGGACAATGGCAGATAAAGTAACTGAAACTCTGAGTATGTTTTACGTATGGGGCACCTATCTTACGGTTTAATCCCAATAGCGTGGCCAAACATCCAAAAGGATCGGAATAGTATCATAATCTTCGCTTGGACAGGAGTTACCGTAGTAGTTTAAAAATAAAACTGACTTAAATACATTGTTATAAATAAGAAAAAAAGAAAAATGTCTCAAATAATTGAAAATAAATAAATGTAACTTTTTACTAAACATAAATGTTCATAATAAATACAGCAAAGAAAAATAAACTTAAAAATGTTCTAACGGAAACGATACGGTTTGACTTGGAAAGTTGGTCGGGACAAGGTTTCCGTACTTTCAGCAAGAATAGTACAGAGCAAAATAGAATTAGCGGCTATAGTTACCGACGTTTTTGAGATGAATTTTCTCAAAATTCCTACTCAAATTGAGTTGCGACGAAAATCTGATCTCCAAGAAATGTTGGTGCGTTTGTTTCAGAGCACGCCATTAAGTGGTAGCAAGTTTTTGAATAAAAACACGGATTAAATTTAGAAAGGGCATTCCCAACACCCACATAAAATATAATGGTTGCTAAGAAAATGGAAGGCATACAAATGTTGTGGTCTTAGACGACGTAAGAACTCGAACGAAAAACTTGAAAAAATGGAGCTTTGATTTTCTTTACAGCCTATTTAACCCTTAACCAGAAGTATAGATTTTCTGGCTATTATTAGAAGTAGGTATGTGTCTCACAGACACTGGCGTATAGTATTCACGAAAAAAGGTTGAGATCAATTGAAATATATTTCGTTGCCTTTATATTATTATTTGTTCAAAACTCTAAATTGGTTATGCTAATTTATTTAAAGTAAATCTACAAAACACAAACGTAAAAAAAACAATGTTATGGAAAAGAATAGAACAGGCCAGTTCACCGGTTTTTACAGCACGTATTGCATTTTTTTTAGAATTGAAGGCATATTAGTTTTTGGAACTTGATGCATTGGTACTAATACATATAGGGGAAAGGCACTGAACGGTGCTACGGAAATGATCATTTACATCTCTTGTAGGTAAGCAAAAAAATATGATAGGTGTCTGCTACTTCTGGTTAAGGGTGGTTTCTCAGGGTCTCCCGAACCTCTTCTCTTCAAGCATAAAACTGATTCCAATGTACGGGTAAGTGCATTTATTGTGAGGTAAATTAACTGGCCTCGTAACCTTGGTGTCTCTCCCAAGCTGTGGCGCTATGTTACTATAGAGCATTCGCACCTTAATATGCAGTATGGGGTCTTATGGACTATATCCCTCCTTTACTAATTTGCGTCATTCTTCAATAACGCTATCCTTATTCCTTACCGCAATGATGCCAAACTTACATATGATTGAATTTAAGCTTTAAAACAAAATATAACGTCAAATCTTCTTGTATTGTCATTACGTGTGTGGTTCGTTTTTGTCTTTCGTATTTAACACATTTTATTGTCTCATTGCTTTAAAAATCGTTCTTTTAAGAACGCCTCCATCTCGTACTTTATATACAAGGTAACTTTGAGTGTACTTGTAGAACCGTTATTTGATTTCATCTTTTGAGAATATCCCATTAAATGGAAGCCGAAGCTGAAGCAGGATCTGCTAACGTGAAACGCCATAAAGGAGAGTGTTTTAGCCGGAAGGAGAAACACCTCCTTATCAACGTGCTGAACTATTTCTCGGGAACGATGAACGTTACTGCAGCTGTGAAAGAAGCAAGTAAAGCTTTATGTTGTTCTGAACGGAGCATCTATGCCATTAAAAAGGAAGACGGAAACGAAGGTGTATCAAGCCCGAAAAAACGCAAGCAAAGAAAAGGGAAACAAAGCAATGATCGTCTTCATGTGTATGATGAAAATGTGCAATCAGTTATTCGACGTAAAGTGCATAACTTCTTCATTACAAATATTCCACCAACTATGAACAGCATCTTAGCTTCCGTAAATGACGATAACGATCTACCCAACTTTAAACGCACCACATTATTCAATCTCTTGAAAGATATGGGTTTTGAATTTAAGAAGGTTGGCCGCAAGAGTATTGCAAATTACATAATATTTATATTTTAGGTAAAAATATTGTGTATACGGATGAGTCATGGGTTAACATTGGTCATTCGGTGAGCAGGGCGTGGCATGACACCACCGTTGAAAGCAATCGTCAGGCATTCATCAAAGGACTCAGTACAGGTTTAAAATCACCCACTGGTCTAGGGCCTCGCTTTGCGTTAGTACATGCTGGTGGTGATAATGGTTTTATTCCGGGCGCGGAACTGACTTTTCTCTGCAAAAAGAACACTGCTGATGCACACAACGAAATGGATGCAGACACTTATGAAAAGTGGTTTTTTGAACAGCTTCTACCAAATGTGCCACCGAATTCAGTCATTGTTATTGACAATGCCTCGTACCACAGTAGAAAGTTGGAGAAGATACCAACAATGTCGTGGAGAAAAGAACACATTATAGATTGGCTTCGTGAGAAAAATGTACCGATTGAAGAAAATCCATTAAAACGAGACCTACTGGCTTCTGTTGCGCATGTTCGGCATCACTACGACAAAAATAAGCTTGATGTTATTGCACAAGAAAAAGGTTACGAGATTCTCCGTTTACCTCCATACCATTGTGAATTAAATCCCATTGAAATGGTGTGGGCTCAAGTTAAACATCATATCAAAATGAATAACAAAACATTTAAAATAAAGGACATGGAAGAATTAATAAAAATGGGTTATTCACAAGTTACGGTTCAAAATTGGCAACATTATGTCAATCACGTGAAAACTATCGAAGCTGGCATGTGGGCAGCAGATTATCTTCAAGATGATGTTGAAGAATTTATAATTCAAGTGTCGCAGTCATCTTCCGATGAATTTCAATTCGATTCCAGTGACTAATATGTATACTGTACATTTGTAAATTTTTGGGGACTTAATAAATACAAGCTGTTCTCGGCCACATTTGACAAACAATTACAACTTGTTATTAATTTACCTTTTTGACTTCTGAGGTTAGGTTAAAAAGTAATAAATAGTGTCTAAACTACCGTTTTACGGTGCAGTAATCGATCCTATAATAAGTTTGGCAAGCATGTACTGTTTCTCCATAAGCCCCATACTGCATACTAAGGTGCGAATGGTCTATAGTATTCATTGTTCCATTACTATAGAATAGAAGCGCGCTCCTTACTTTACCATTTACGATGTTATGTATGAAGGTATTGTGGCAACAGCGTTTAAGCTTCACATGCGCCCCCTATCGCTTAGTATATAACAGAAAGTTTAGAATGTTTCTTCCTACTTCGTCTCAAGTATTCAACGTTGTATATTTACCCAAGTAAGTCATTCTCCATTTTGTTTTATATAATAAATGTTTTATAAACCGAGTGTTATGCATACATAAAGCGTACGTATAAACGAACGCGCTATATTTTGGTGACCCCGACGTGATTTTCGGATAGACTAAGTCAAATTTTGCCTCCGCCATGAGAACCACAATTCTACCCGGTTTGGGCAGAAAGCTGGTAACGTTAGGGACAATCGCCACAGTATGATGATACTGCCGGAGCAAGTTATATTTAAGCAGTTAACAGAATTGCAATAATTTACGTTGAGCTTGATAGGCCAATCTTATAGTCGTCTTATGTTTAGCTAGTGGAACTTTCTGATATTGCAGCCGTTCAAAATACATGGAGAATCCATGTATGTGACATTTTGTAGTACCTATGTGAGACACTTAAAAACCTACTAACAAGAATTTATTGTGTTGAAAGCAACGATGTGTTATCATATACAAAACAGTATTCACTTAACAGAAAAACAATAGTATAGGTGGAATTTAGTTACAAGTAACAAAATGTATAAAAAGACAACATACAATAACTGTTGAAACTTTTTGGAATGTGCCTAACAATGTTAATTAATGTAAACTATTTTACGGGTATTTGCTTTGTTTTGTGTCTTGTAGGTAAGGGTGCAAGTGTTGATAAGGGTGTGCGTGCGCAATACCACAGTTATACAAATTGAGCATATCTGCATAAGCTAAATGATGTGAATCACTCTTGGGATTAATAGTTTCCAACTTTGAAGTTATCTGCGTCCTTAGATTGTTTTCTGAATGGGACCCATACGCCATATTGAAAAGGGCATCTGGGTCACACACAAATTTGTAAACATACCGTTCACCTGAAAATCGCACTGTAGTGGGTCAAAGAAGAAGCTAACGCGTGTTTACCTGCAACTTTCTGCATGATTCCTTTTTCGTAATAGTAACGAAGCGATCGGCTTAATTTATCGTAATTCATAGCGGGTCGATTTTTTTGCGCGCCCCATCGTCTTGCAACCTAAAATTTAACTTAGCCAAACTACAGTAAAGCTAAACATACCTCTTCGGGTTCGATTAGTTTAAATTCCATTCCTCTGCCTGTCCACGCTATACAACCGGCACTTGCATCGGGAGTGTCCAAAAGTGCTACTAAGAACTGCCATAGTTGCAAGGATCCTCTTCGTCCATTAGAAGTTTGTAAACGATTATCTATCGATTCTCTTTTTTCCTCATTTGTCCTTTCAAAGTGAACTAGCAAAAAAGTTCAAGTGTTAGATGCGTGGTATGCCCTAAAATGAAAGAAGTGTATTTATTACCTGTCTGATTTAGGGTTAAAGTCTGCATCCAGCAACTTTTATTCGCATGCGGTAATATTTTATTTCGCTCGTAGGTCGCTCTGCCATAATTAGAATTACCTAAAAAAAGAAGAAACAATTACAGTTAGGAATTTTTCTTTCTTATAATAATGTTTAATATGTGTTCCGAAGTAAAACGAAGATGGATTGGTATGCTTGCTGTTGTTTATTTACATTTTATTAGCAATTACAGTGTATTAGAAGTTATCATTGTGGCGGTACCGTGCAAGGCTTTTGTGTGCCCGAGTACTGCAGTCCTTGTCGAGGTTTGGTCAGTCGAATTTTTCTTTGATCAGTCTGGTGGAAGTTCCTGTACTACCTGGTATGGGTGTGACAACGGAGGCCACCAAGCGTGGACTGCGAATTTTCTCCATTTCAGTATGTAGGTGTTCGTAATGTTTGGCGCTAATTATTTTATGTCATCTGCTCCGTACTTTTGTTCTGCGAGAATCAGTTTTTCGAGGAGAACGCAATGGATTTTCTTTGCATTGCTTGGTATTGCTGGAGATCATACCGCCTAGGGTGAACTCGTAGACGTTATCACGTTGGTGGTGGCTGCTAGTAGGACCTCGTGTTTTGGGTGCATCAGTTATAGTCCAGGGAATAGAGGGTTTTAACTTGCAAAATGAGAAGTAGTTCCAATTTCTTTTGCATGTCATAGACAGTCATCTGTTGGTTAAGAATCTAAGTTTTCGACCTCCCACCTCTTGTGCTTCCCCCGTATCACCCCCAAAACCACTGAAATTTGGTTGGTTTCTTAGTTTTTCAATCATGTCTTTTTAATGGTTCACTTTAGAAAAAAATATTGTTATCAGAAATTGTAGACCATAAAATTCTACAGAACTTTGATATACACTACTTTTTTGTGAAATGTTTATTAAAAAAGATATAGAGCTTGAGAGTTGGTTATATTTTTAAGAATTCTGAAATTTCTATGTAGATGTTTTAACCAAATTTCATACTTTATCTCTATAATTAAGAGTTTTATGAGAAAATATCTTGAATTTATTGTGGTATAAATCCCTCTACCCTGCACCCTTACCAATGGGGATGCATAATAATGCAACTTTCTACCCTTGCTAGTGGGGATAATTGAATCCCTGCGAGATTGTAGCGCTTTCTAATTATACTTTTAAAATTAAAAAATTGTTTCACTTCAGTTCAGTTTCACCTCCCCTCCCCCCTCCCCCGCGCGGTAGAAATAGATATTAAACGCTCTTGTGGCGATTGTGAAGTTAGTCAGAGAGTACAACGCTTATTACATATTATGTGTTCTATTCCTCTTTAAATATCTATTCCTACCGCGGATGGGGGGAGGGGGGGGGATGAAGGATATAAGGATGAAGCTGAACTGAAGTGAGATAATTTTTTTGTTTCAAACGTATATTAGAAAGCCCTACAATCTCACAGTGATTCAAATATCCCCACTAGCAAGGGTTGAAAGTTGAATTATTATGCATCCCCTTTGGTAAGGGTGCAGCGTAGGGGGATTTATATCACGATAAGTTCAAGATATTTTCTCATAAAACTCTTAATTATAGAGATAAAGTATAAAATTTGGTTAAAACATCTACATAGAAATTTCAGAATTATTAAAAATATAAGCAACTCTGTAGCTCGATATCGTTTTTAATAAACATTTTTCAAAAAAGTAGTGTATAAAAGTTGTGTAGAATTGTATAGTCTACAATTTCTGATAAAAATATTTTTTTGTAAAATGAACCTATAAAAAGATATGATTGAAAAACTAAAAAACCAACCAAATTTCTTTGGTTTTAAGGGTGGTACGGGGGAAGCACAAGAGGTCGAAAACTTGTATTCTTAACCACCAGATATTCTTTCATGACATGCAAAAAAAATTGGAACTACTTCTCGTTTTGCAGGAAATGGTCCATTTTCAGTCCCTATTTCCTGGACTGGACTTCTCAGCAAGAAGTTTAAAAAGGGTTTCTACGTACTCCACGAAGTGTTCCTGATTCTGTGATGCGAGCAATATGCCATCGATGTATACATGAGCAAAATGTAATTTTAACAGTTGAAAAGTAAAATGGTTAGTCCTCTTATCATAAAAGGCCACAGACGCAGAAGGTGCCGAAAATCAGCACATCAAAGAATTCGATAATTTAAAAAAAACAAATGTACTAAAATTATCCGACGCCGTTAAATCAATACATCCAGCAGCAGCACCGAATAAAATCTTACTTTTACGACCACGTTTGACTCGAAACGTTTAAATAGAAATATAGGACAAGTGAAACATCTTCAAATAATTTGCCGTTCCCCGACTTATGAGTGGCAACTGTAATGTTTTGAAATAGAAAAGATCAAAAAGAAAAACAAATTACTGTCCCGATAAGTTAGGAGCAATGTAGTGGTTGTGTTATTACGGATTACGCCCGTAAGGCAATCGAGAAAAAGGGAGAATTTGATTGTGAAAGATTTCCCACTTCACATTCAGGGGTCCCAGTTTTTTTTTTTTGCAAAATGTACACTATTTTCTGAAACTCTTTTCCTCACACAATACAAGAAGAATTAGTCTATGAAAATTAGCCTAAAAATTGTCGATCAGACTGAATAATTCGTGTAGTTTTGAAAGTTGGTATAATTATTCTTTGAGGTGTAAACATGAACATACTGAAAGTCGTCGAGGATGAATGGTGAGCTGGCGGCGGAAGAGGGGAGAAGAGGTCCCTTTTTTCAGTTTTTCTCTCGAAAATTATTAATAATATCTTTTTAATTACTTGTACATTAATTAGCTACATTAAATTTTATACAAATTTACTCAACGTCTGTTAGATAAAATGCAGGGCTGACAAAATCGAAACACGAATAACTGCCTGCAATTTAAAAAGCTGCAGACAATCCAGTGGTTGCTGTTGTTGGAGAATGTGTTGGACTTGTAGTAATTCTAATGGCCCTAACTCCACCAGCAAAATATATTTTGCCAATACTGAAAGGCGGAAAATGGAAACCAAGATATTTTCTTCCTAAGATCTTAAAAAAAACTGGTATTGTTCAACTTTACTTCTTCACAGTTTCAGTGGTTGTGATACGACCTCGACCATTTTTTAGAAGGGAAAAGCATAATTTCTCAAGCTTTTTAAGCAAAATTCATTGATAAAGGATATAGCAACTGTCTTTTAATTAATGATCTAAAATCAGCTCCAGGCGATATAGCAAAAGCTTCATAAAAGTACCAATCCCATGACCAATTCCAAACCTAATTTATCTTTCCTCCCTTCTACCAAAGGGTCAGCGAAATATCAGACCTATAAAGTATTCCAACAAGTTCAGGAATGGCTTGAGAATCAACTACCCCTGAAATTGGTACTAATTGTATTTTATTTTCAGCTTAGATACTGTATACTGCTTCAAGTATTGATCCCACAGTAAAAACGTGTAGGCTTAATTTGTAAAAATTTAATATAAATAATTAATGTAGAAGTAATTATAAGAATAATTTGCGAAATACAAGCAGAAAACTGAAAAAAGGGACCTTTCACCCTACACGAATTATTCGGTTTTGGCGTGTTAATTAAGTACTCGTACTTGTACAAACTTTAAAGGGCGAATATTTGGCTAATTTTAAGATAAAAGGTTCGTATAAATATGGGTCCGCAACGGCTTGTTTCTTAGATAGGTACAGGGCGTTCAAAAAAACTACTTTATTTGATTTTTTGATTATTTGTTAAGTAACATGTAATTATTTTCATTGTTTTGTTACCTCAAATAGATTTTGTTTCCTTTTTTTTTAAATTCATCACAGACTACTTGATTAAAATATAAAAACCGTTGATATAGCAGGTATTCAACCTTATGTTATGATAGCTCGTTGAAAAGAGAATTAAAAAATCTATCAAGTAATCTAAAAATCCAATGTGGCGCCTATTTAACTTTAGGATGTTGGTAGATGTTCCTCAAAAGTAGCCATCTTGTATTTTTTTGACTTCAATCCTAAATTAAGTGTATCAAAGACAGTAACAGTATATCAAACTTTTTTTTATATCTCTTATACTTTCGATGATATAAGACATTCAAGCAAGGAAATTACTACTTAATTTTAGTTTTTTTGAATTTACGTCGAACCTATGGGACTTTTTGAATTTCCACAAGGAAATTTTAAATAATCATCTAGAACTGAAAAATATAGTCCATTAACCAATTCTCAATCTTTAATAATAAGAAAGTTACCCATGCAATCTCACGCGATCAGTGATACACTGTATTGATGATGAGAAACTCAAAATATTAACTTAGTTTTTTGTTTAATGTTAGAGGGCGCCACATACAATGTTGTTCCTGAATTTAATAAATCATAATTTTGAGTTCCTCGTCGTCGATATACCCAGTATCTCGAATTTCATCCAACTGCAACTTGAATTTATGGCGGGCGACGTACTTTCACGAACACGGACGCTTTGGCTCTGGACCCTGCTCTGGACACTTCAGATCTGAGGCATGTCGGATTTTAGATATCTGGGCACGTGAACATTACGGCTACACGACATCTCCGCTCTTGGCCAACTCGGCTCTGGAACGTTTCGGCTTTGGAACATTTTTTGATCCGGGCATTTCGGATTCGACACAGCTTGGCTCGAGACTAAAGACCAATTGAATATTTTGCATTGAACAGCGAAGAAGACCACAATAAATGTATCCCTATAACATGGACTTACACAAAATTTAGTAAATTTTGATTGCGTATAGCTTCCGTACATGCGTGAAATTGGCACGCACTGTGCACCACGCAGTCTGTAGCTGGCTTTAAACGCTTTCTAATATTCTAATATTTTTCTATTTCGTACAATGATTTTTTTAGTTTCTAGAACCTGTTACAAAAATAATTGGAGAAATTGTAATTTTGCACTATTTTTAAAAGGTCCATGTACGTAGACTCTGAAACTGTAAAAAGTCCTTCTACGCAAGAGTTTCATATTTTTATTATACAGGGTCATTCTTGACGAGCGTCAGTTAGAAAGATATGGAAAACCTTTGAAAATGAAAATAAACTGATAAGCCCTTTAAGGGTTTTGGCACATGATGAATTGAACTAAAATATTTTCAAAATGGCGCCACTTCCGGAAACACCGGAAGTAGCCATCAACTTTGTTATTTTAAATAGGGACCCCCTATTTTTTCTACATTTTCGGATTCTACGTCGAATTTGGAGTACAACGATACCCCATAGTTGACCCTTTGCTCCAAGGGCTTCGCCGATATTCAAGTTTTTGTGTCAAAAATTGAATTTGAAGGGATAACTTTAAAAATTTATTATTCGAAAACGGTGAGAGATATTGCAAAATAGTTTTCAATGCTTTATTAAGGAAAGATCGAATTTTCTTATGGTATGCGTAAGAGTCTAAAAAAGTAAGACTACGTTACTTTTTTAAAGCTCTCAACTTTTAAACTTTTAAATATCCGTAACTCCATTTTTTCAAATGGCACCCCCCATTTTGTTCTTCACCCTTGTTTTCCTTTTTCCCAGACCTTTAATTTGATGCAAAATGTCAAAAGCTGCTCCAAACGGTTTCCGAGATATTCCATGTTTTAGTTACTTCTTGTCGAAAGTTGATAAAAAAATTAAGTCGCTTGATGTTATTCTTTTGTTTTTATTATGATAATGTTTAAACGTCAAATTTTCGCTGCTTGACCTTATACTTCTCAATTTCTCGTTGGATATCATTGAGCGATGCAGTTGGATTTGCAGCAAAATACGCCAGTACAGCTGTTATTTCTTGTCCTTCAGAGTCTACCGCAGGCTTCCTTTTTTGTATTTTTGTTTGAAAGATACCGTTATTCCTGAAATTGTGTAGCAATTTGCGAATTGTAGCCCCTGTGGGTTGCGCCTTGTCAGGGTATCTTTCGGAAAAAAGACGACAAGTCCTGGCAGCTATTCGATTACATTCACCGTGTATTAATATTAAATTCAAAAAATCTTCATTAGTGTAACCCAAACGAGCCATTATTGACGAGAAGTATAAGTTCAAGCAACAAAAATTTGACGTTTAAACATTATCATAATAAAAACAAAAGAATAACATCAAGCGATTTAATTTTTTTATCAACTTTCCACAAGAAGTAACTAAAACATGGAATATCTCGGAAACCGTTTGAAGCAGCTTTTGAAATGTTGCATCAAATTAAAGGTCTGGGAAAAGGAAAACAAGGGTGAAGAACAAAATGGGGGGTGCCAATTGAAAAAATGGAGTTACGGATATTTAAAAGTTTAAAAGTTGAGAGCTTTGAAAAAGTGACGTAGTCTCACTTTTTTACACTCTTACGCATACCATAAGAAAATTCGATCTTTCCTTAATAAAACATTGAAAACTATTTTGCAATATCTCTCACCGTTTTCGAATAATAAATTTTTAAAGTTATCCCTGCAAATTCAATTTTTGACACAAAAACTTGAATATCGGCGAAGCCCTTGGAGCAAAGGGTCCCTATTTAAAATAACAAAGTTGATGGCTACTTCCGGTATTTCCGGAAGTGGCGCCATTTTGAAAATATTTTAGTTCAATTCATCATGTGCCAAAACCCTTCAAGGGCTTATCAGTTTATTTTCATTTTCAAAGGTTTTCCATATCTTTCTAACTGACGCTCGTCAAGAATGACCCTGTATACATTAAGCTTTATACACAGAGGATTGTAGAAGCTTTATTTTCGCCCCTACGCGGGGTACGTAGTTGATCTCTGAATTTGTAAATGCTCCCTCTGGGAGACCGTTATTAGCATAATTTTTTTAGCGTAGTTCTAGTCTGTTGCAAAGATCATAGTAACGTAACCATTTTACCGCTATATCTGGAGAATAGATGTCCCCTAGCTTCTAAATTTCTAAACGCACTCTTTGCAGTTGGTTTTTTGTACCTAAGTATAGTTTTTCCATCCTATTACAAAGGAACATTGAGTAATTACTTCACTCAACGAAATTTTCGTGTTTTATTAAATGGCAGAAGCTTTTTTTGTTTTTACTCATTCTTGTTAGAAATATAATTTAACTATAATTATCATTTAACCCCTTAGCATTTAAATCTACAAATTCTATTTTTGCAGAAGTGTCCTTTATTTTTAGTTTGATTTGTTTTTGTCTTAATTATGAAAGTCGTAAAGCCATTTATCGTAATTTGTACTCCTTTGTAAATATATAGTCATTTTGGTTTCGCTTATACACCCCTTTTGTGTGATAAAATAGTAATTGATATGAGTTAGCTACTAAATATTTCAATGGTTTTGATCTAAATGCCAATCACAAACTAAATTCGATGACACTAATTACAATGCTTCAAGAAGTGAAAATGTGGCGTAAATAATTAATGATTAGAGATATAATTACAACCGCAACGCAATGTAGTTATTGTTAGTGTGCTGCGCATTAGTATTACATCTCTCTATTTTGATGGAACATTTCCAAACTGAATCCAAAATTAGCACGTTTAGGGAGTACTTATAAAAACGAATATGTTTCTTTAAGCCCATCCCTTTCAGCAAACGAAAGGGATTTAATTATAAATGCTTCTATGAACTAATAAATACAGCACTTGTTTACGTTTAAAACCGCATGTATAATATTAACTAAGTGTCGATTAATTCTCGCTCAAAGTACAAACAAACTACATCAACGATAATACCGTATTCACCAATGAAGGGTTAATATTAAATGGGGCTGCATGATGTGCCTTTCAGCGCTGACCCGGCGGATTATAGTAACGAATTAAGAGTTAGTCACTTTTAACGGGGATGAGTATCAGCGTAAATAAGTAGGTTCATTTTACGAAACGTGCGTAGACAAAAATCAAAATTAATTTCCGCTCCGAAGAAAAAAATTGTCACTCGCGCCACCAAAAACGTGATCTAATTTTGAATGACATTTCTTACAAAATCAAAATTGATTCTTCTTCGATTAAAAGCTGCAGTGCACGTCTGGTGCGGATAAACATATTATTATACAGAATGTTATGCAAATATCCTTTCAATGTTTGCTACTCGATCTTGCTTTTTTTAGCGGAATAAAAATGAAGTACAACGTGGGGTGTTAAAATTAGATTTGACGTTTATAAATTGAAATTTAAATATGTCTGTCGACTGTGCGGCGTCGACTTACCGTCAAAATCCTTGTCGTTTGGTTCTTGCTTTATAGGTATGTGTGCTCCCAACTGATCCGGAATGCTTTGCAAATGTCCCGAGTATTGTGGTCCTTCTCCCACTGTCCTCGAGGTTAATGTACACCTAATACTTTGATTAGAATTGGCTTACTGTTTAGCTCACTCACCTGGATATGTTATTGGCGTAAAAGTGACTTGCAGACTGAAAATTTCCGGGGCAAAAGTTATCAAAGGATTCAATTGGTGGGTAAGAAGTTGAGCCATGGTAAGCTTTGGTTAAATTTGACGAGATCTCAGACATCGAATTCTCTGGCTTTACATCTGCAATAAATACGATTAATGACACAACTTTCCCGTAAAATAACGGTTAAGGGATGAAGTAAAACATTTATTGTTTGTTTAAGATTGTCAATGTGTAGGTGGGTTACAAAGCTGAACGATTGACGATAGTAATCGCGAACATGCTGGGTGCAGAGATCACCTGTCAGCGGTTCTTTTAGAACGTAAACATCCATTTCGTATTTGTATATTCTGAACTTGCGACACCGCGGGGTTGCCCTCTTTATGTAACCGTTTCTACCTCGAATTTTACCCCTCAACGATTAAAAGGAAATTTTATCTAGTTACGGCGGAGTTTTTATAAAGTTTATAAGGCAAAAGATACAATTTTCTACGGGACACTTTTTAATCTAATGTTATTTAGCAGCAAGATTAATAATTATTAATTACAGGAGTACTAAATTAGACACCGCAAGTACTGTCAAATTTCCGCATTGAAGAAGAAACGTTTTGAAAGGTTAAATCATTTTTATTTGCTGATTTCGTTGTAAACCTGCTTATAATTAGAACTGACTACTTCAAGCAATCGATTTTGATTGAACTATTAATTAACGAAGAACACTCACTCAACCCAATTAACATTTGGGCAATAAATGTCTGGTACCAATAACATTTTAAACAATATGCAGGGTGTGAAGATTTTAGAATTATAAACAAAATTGAAACACTGAAACAAAAATTTCAAAAGTTATGGAATAAATCAGCTGCCAGTTTATTAGAAAAAGCATTTAATATTGGTAATTGAACAAAATTGTATGCAGAACTAGTACGAGGTTTCAGAAATTATGGATAATGTTAATCAATGATATTAGAACATTAGGCGAACCATTCAAACTAATTCAAGTTAACCATTAACCATTGTTTGTGAAACCGGAATAGGTCCACGAAGTTAGTTGAGACACCGTAAAGTTCAATTTTTAACTGCAGGTCATTTTTGTCTCTTCCATTCAGTACCATTTTGTAACCATCCGAGAGGTAAGCTCGTGTCCGATTTTTCTATATACTCGAGATCCTCTTTATGAGAAAAATTCTGATTCTTAGAAACCACAATATCAAAAAATCACCAAAGATCCCTTGAAATCCCGATCGGTTTTAGAAATTCGCATTACGTTTTAATGCGCAGTTTTCCGCATTCTAATTGCACCAGGTTTTCTAAGAAAACTGTATTGGTTGGATTAAAGTTAGGATTGTAAAATCATACATAGGTTTCCCCAACTATGCGATCAGTTAACGTAAATAATGTTACATTTCGCCGAAAGGATTATTTCCTTTCGCTTGTTTCTCTTGTATTTTATTTCATATTTGAATTATCTTATTTCATGATCCATGTAGTCCTTTTATACTGGTTTAGGGTAGTTGTAAAAAGTTAACTACAGCTGACAGTGAGGCCCGAATGAAGCCTTAAATTTTGGTTTTGTAAACTGACTATGTCAGTGCGGCCAAAATGTAGCGAAGGAACTTTAATTCTGTAAACCACAGACCATTGCAACCCTTATCACCACTTCGCGTTCCCATATCCAATTGGTCCTGAGTACTGCTACTTATCCGTTCGACGTAGTAGGGCGAAAATCAAAGGCGACGAAAAACGAACAGCTACCCCACCACACTCCTCCCTCACACTAACCGGGAAACATAAATTGGCTTACCAAGTCAAATAAATGTGGCCCAAAAGTTGGAGGGTCGGTGATGTCGTTGCGGGTGGTTCGGGACCGTGCCGAAGAGATGGTTCAAGTGGTGTAGAAAATGCTTAGTACGCATCCACCCAAATAAGTATCTGAAAACTTGGAACCATTGTCTACGTTCGAAGAAATCTAACACGGTTTCAGGCATCCACATGTTTAAGCTACGAAAAATCGGTTCTTAGTAATGGATTCCCTGAATAACGTACGCTTTCTAATTGCTAGGGAGAGCCTCCTCCGTGGCGCATTTATTGTCGTTGTGTGGATTGAATAAATAAGGGTTTATTACATAAAATCGCTGACGGAACGATTCATTCCACCTTCAAAGTTCTGCGATTGTAACCATCTGTTCCGGTATAGAAACCTTTAGAAGAAGTTGGTAAGTTCAGATGAACGTGAGAGGAATGATGTAATTTAGAGAAACTTGACAGGAATGTAAAATAAACGACCAATTGGTCACATGTGCGCAAAGGCCATCGACAAAAAAATGAAGGTAATCGACAGCTGACGGTGGCGGCAGTCAGCCAGAATCGTTTACGAAATAAGTTGTTAAATATCAGTCCTTTGCAACGTTTTGATTTTGAAAAAGGAGCTTGGGAAAGATATTCTCAAAAAACTTGCTAAGAACCTGGAAGAACATGGAGAAGACCTGGAGATAACTTAAAAGGGTGTCTGATGACCTTGACCTTTGACTGCATAGTCTGAAACAGTCAGTTACATTTTGCGTCCTACCATATAAATACATATTGCATTATTGTCGTTTGGAGTAAAATTCTCTTGAGTATCCATAATATAATCTCCATTCTTCCGCATATACATTGGAAAAAGAAGTATCTGTGAGAAGGAACGCGTGACGCGTGTAACCATGTTGTAATTTAGAGCTAGTGGATAGTGGTGGTTATACACTAACTCGTGGTGAGCATGGCGAATTGGTGAAGGCAAGGACGCAGTGAAAAACAAAACAGAAGACTGAGGTTCAGGAAAAATCATATTCTGCATTAAATAAATACCTGTCCTTCTTATTAGATCGTACGAATTGGGTTTGTAATTGAATAAACAAAAGTGTTCTGTGACAAAATGTGGAAAACATGTGACATTGCTTTGGCAGCTACTCGAAGTCGGTCTACCTTGGGGTTTTTGTTATTTCAATGGATTAAATGAATACATTTGTGGTTTTCCGCTCCAGATCTTAATTTAATTGTCTAGGGTTAAAGGCGGTTCTAAATTAATTTGAATTTACTCTGGAATATACTTATGAAGCTTACCCAATTGATGTACATGTACATACATTAATAATTTATGGCGTGGAGCATAAACAAAATTTGATTATGGTACTAAAGCAATAAAGGCGAAAAATGTACGTTGTTCTTAAGAAAGGGATATTGTAAAGAAAGGTAAAGAAGAAGGGTAAAGAAAGCGTTCGGGAGGTAGTCACGCATAAGTACCCATTGAGGAAAGATGTAAACATGTGCAACTAAAGCAATAAAGGCGAAAAATGTACGTTGTTCTTAAGAAAGGGATATTGTAAAGAAAGGTAAAGAAGAAGGGTAAAGAAAGCGTTCGGGAGGTAGTCACGCATAAGTACCCATTGAGGAAAGATGTAAACATGTGCAACTTAAGCAGGAAACTTACTTAGAAAAAAAGGTGCAATTTGGTCGTTCAATGAGTGGAGCGTTACTAAAAATGTACACAACTAACGAATTTGAATCGTAGAAGTGAAATGTGGTATGAAACCAGGTAGGAATACTGCAAAACTAATATATCAGTTATATTGGATAATTAAATTGAATACGTAATTTAATATCACTTTTGTTTATAATTCGTGAAACTTAGTTGTTTTTATTGCATCGAAATAGGGGCGTAAATGCCTGATGGGGACGTGGTCCGAGAACAGACTTAATTAAATTTAGCGTTGTCGAAATTATGTATTGTGCCTATAAAAACTTAACCCCTGTGAATTGTTTGTACTTTGAAATACAAGTAAGCTTGCTAATTACGCAAGCTGCTAGTAATAGTATTTTACATTATTAGCCAGGTAAGTGAGATTTTACTGGTGATAGGAGAAGTTGACTGGCGAGCCGTTAGGCGAGCCTGTCATCTCCTAGAGCCAGTAAAAACTATATATTACCTGCCGTATAATGTACAATATTTTATTTGTTACTCATTTGTAAACAATAGTAAACGTAAATATAATTAGTTCTTAAATTGATCTCGAAGAAATGTCTAAAATATCATGTTATCCATGTAACAGAGACTTCGCATTAATTCTGGCCAATGAAATTGCTAGATTACTAACTTGTAAAATTTTTACAGGTCAGCTGTCAGTTTTACAAGTCAGTAGCGTTTAAACATGACGTTTATCCGTTTGCGTTTTGTCTTGTTAATAAACGTTTACAACTGAGTAACAAATAAATTATATTAACTTAGCTGAAAGCATTAATTAATCCTCTTATAATTGTAAATTGACTCATATCTCTCATACTTCATGAATGCATTTGAGGGAAAGTTGCACTGGTTTGGTTTTATAATGTTTACTACACTAACAGTGAGGTCAAATATTGTCTTAAACGTTGCTTCTGTAAGAAGCAGACCTAGGCTGAACTACGCCTATTATAATAAATACATTATTATTATTACTCTGTCAGTGGGACCATCGAGCCTTCAACTTGGTTCTGTAAACCACTGTCCATTTCAATCCCTAATACCAGTCCGCGTCCTCGTAGTTATTGGGTTCTGAGTACTGTCTAATTTACTTTGTCTCTGTGCTATCTCAAATAAAAAAACTAGCAGATGACGACCCCTACTATAACATAAAATCCAACAAGCACAACTTAAAATCTAGAGTGCTAATACTATCATCTAGGAGGTCTGAGCCGAGAAGAAGGTAAGCGGTATAATAATCGGCGTATTTGTCATGTCTCATTTCTATTGGCAGCGTCAGATAACGTACTGCGACGCTGCAATGCAATGGAAACGATGACTATTTTATACAGATGTCTAAATTAATGTCATGAAATCGCCACACTTTTTTCAATTCAATCCAATTAATATACTTCAAAGTATAAATAACAATTTACGTTATAGTATCATTCACGCCCGAATAATTCTCTCTTAGACAAATGGCACTCGAAAAATATGCTCTCGGATAATTTACTCCCGAATAATTGGCAATAGAAGATTTCGCACAAGGATAATTTGCACTAGGATAATACGCACAGGCATTTCGCCAGGGTGACATTTCGATTTCTGGACAGATGTTGCTCCTAGACGTATTTGCCGGTCCAAACTGTTCACGCCATATCCACAATGCGAATTTTCCGAGAATGAATTTTTATAGTGCCAATGAACTCAATGTGGATTATCCTGGGACCGAAACGTCTACGGTGCGAATTATTCCTGTGCGAATTGTCCAAGCGCTGATTATCCGGGAGCAAATTTTTCTAGTACGATTTGTTCGGGTTTTCGGGTGCGAATTATCCGAGAGCGGGTGCGATCTGTCCGGCAGTGAAATGACCAGAGTGCGAAATATCATGGGAGGGAAATGTCAGGTTGCGAATTGTTAATCTTAACACAAAAATTTATTATTTTTCTTTGATATAAAATGTAAAAAGGAATGCAATCGTATCGACGTAACAAAGCTTAAAAGAAGATGATGACAAAATCCAGTAGCATCTTGGATTTTCGGAAAATCATTGTGCACAAATTAATACATTTCTTGGACCTGTTCCCGATTCCTGCGACTTTTTGTTTCTTCGCCTACCCTTTTTTGAAAGACAACCTTTATGGGCACATATACGATTGAAAATCTATTTCAGCAAGGAATCAGAAATGCTAGGAAAGAGGATTATAGTAAACTAATAGATTAATCCACTCTTGTAGCATAAATTGAAATATCTATATAACCAATTTGTTTTGAGAGTTGTTATGAACTAAGCTTCTCGTACTATTTTGCATGCCGATTTAATGAACAGTCGAATAAAGCACAATTGAGGTTTAGATTTAAATTGAGTTGACTACATTTGATATACATATAGCAATTTATAGAAATTCAATCAATGGCGAACACAAAAAATTAAGAACCCAGGTCCAGTAAATTTAAAATTTTTATTCTCGAGAAGACAAACACAGCTATTGACTTTGTAGGGGATGAACTAATCTGTAGATGATTAAAAATTCTATCCTCGGGGTTGATTGATATCGCTCACACTTTATGTTTGTAAAAGAAAATCCCCACGCCAAGTAATAAACGATTTTAGTCAAAAGAGAGAATGCTACATACCGCTGGTGTTATGTGCGGTCGTGGGGTAATCTGAATCTGGTACGTATTGTTCGTTTTCATCGGGTTCGCAGCTGTTACCTGCAAACAGAAAAATATCAATTTTTAATTGGCAGCGAACAATGTATTACAACTCTCGCTCAAAAAATAACGAAAAAACTTTAAAAGCGAAGGTAAGGGTGAATTTGAAAGGCGTACAGTTGAATTCTCCACGGAATAAGGTCCATCATTTAAGTTTGTGAATTATTGATAAGAGAACAACAGGTGAAAGCATTACATCATTATTAACGTGATGTTGGAAGTCTCTTTTTAACGTGACTGTTCAGCACAAGAGCGAGCGCGACATTAGCTGTAATTATTGACGTTTTGTGTAGGGTTTAATGTAGTTGGTGTATTTCGCACAATGAAGGGGGGTTTAAATGTTAGCATTTGGGATAATTAATAATACAATAAGCTGTAATACCTACCTTCTTGATGCCACGGCTCTCTCCAGTCAACTGGGAATGATCCTGTAACAGAATGTTTTTTCTACGTTATTTTTTCACTCGCACAAACATGCGTCCCATTACGTCTTACATCAACGACATTCGAAGGAAAATGTAGTTCAGTATGATAGAGTATAATCTAAAAGCACGACAATTACTTACCAGTGGGTGGCGAAGTCTTGTAGGGATCCGTGTGCTGGTGATTACAAGGGGACCCGATAGGGGCTCCGAACAAACAACCCTAAATAGAATTATTAATAAAGATTTCGTTGAAAATTAATTTTATAGTTAATGTCTAACTTCACATTCTGTCATTTTGTTTATCTAATAGACTATAGTGTTAATTAGATTTTTTCAAAGGGTTGTTGCTTCATAATTGGAATGTCAACAGAGGCTTGGAGGTCTGGTATCGAGTTTAATTGTCATTAGGTTAATTAGCGACTCATCTTTCCTTAAGTTATTAAAAGCAAAGGCTAAAGTGTAACTAATTTTGTGATGAATATGGTAAAATAAAACTGCCCATCATGCAAAAGAGTCGATACTTAAGAATGAAGACGCTAATAATGGTTGGTGGCAGATGAAATTCACTTGTTGAGGATTAAACCCGCCACTCTAAAAGTGGAGATTTGTACGTACCCAATTGTTGTTTTATAATCGAAGTGAAAAAATTAATTTTTCAAAACTTAGAAAGAGACCCTTTTCATACTTTAGTATTTACGAGTTTGTTGCCAAAGGGTTGCAAGCTAACCAATTACACTTTAGAAAGGTCGCGAATGCTAAAGCTTGAAAAGATTAGGTTGGTCGCTTCAAACAAAAGTAAACCATTCATCTCTCCCTAATTTTTGAAGAATTCACTATCTTATTTCGGTTTTTGAAAACAATTGACCGTTGTGTCATAGCCCTTTTTTTATTTCAAGATAAACCATACATTGTTCTCCGTTTCTGCAACCAATCATAATCCCAGAATTGATTTACAGCCTTAGCAATCGAAAAACAATTACCAAATATCTCCCAAAGATTGGGGTTGATGATATTACAATTAATTGATGAAAGTAGAAATACCAAAACACTTTAAATGTTTGTTCTTAGAAAACGAACTGAAGTGTTAAAATAATTTACTGGTGGCATGTACGTTCAATTTGCAATTCAAGGAAATGTCGGCAACAAAATGCTTGTTTTATTCAAAAATTACAAAAACGCCCACCTTCATTTATTAAACACAGGTCACCACGTCGCGTCGCCGTCGTTCACTTTTTTAAAGACAGTTGCACATTGTACATTGGCGTCGGATTACATTTTCTGCTTAATTTATTTCGGTAACTGTTCTTTAAATAGAAAAACAAAGAATGGTCCAAATGGGTCAGATCCGGAGACCAGGGAGGATATGGATTATCTGTACCGAGACTTATGATCCGTCTCTGGTGTGCGGTAAATTCGCAACGGAAGATTCGCTCTCGGAATATTCGGCCCCAAGAAAACTCGCCCCCAAGTAAATTCGCCCCCAACAAATTCGCCTCCGGAAGTATTTAAACTTTTTTCAACATTATCCCTTTTAAAAGTAATTACGTAGTTCTTCAATTTGTTATTGTATCATAGTCTAATGGAAATAATGTATTTTTGCCAAAGAAAACGTTTGAAGAGGAGCAAGCTACAACTTAAAGACAGTGCGTATCAAACCGCAAAATAATTGACGGTGCGATAATGAAATAAGTCATTGTGATACAAGATTTATTTCCTTTGGATGTCAAATCCTTTGCAGATCTTCCTTTCTTTATTCAACCTTACCTTAATTACCTATTCATATTTTAGTTAACAGGTATCTGAGTGCTATTATTCTACCCCCTTTATGTAGGTATACACATTTATTACAAACAAGTTAAAATTAAACAAAATTCATTTTATTAACTGCTGTCTCTGTTGCTTCCTTACTTCCGATGGTTAGTAAATCTAATGGAGTGAATCCTACGGGGGCGAAATTGCCGGGGGCGACTTTGTCGGGGGCGAATTTATTGGGGGGAATATTCAACATACTTTTTTGTCTGTTTTTATAAAATTATTTATTTGCTCAAATAATTTTTACATATACAGGGTGTTACATGACCAATGTAAAAAAAATTGGGTGATAGAGGGGATCAAGACAAGCACTTTTTTTCCAAATAAACCGAGGCACAGTGCGGCAAAGACCGCGCTTTGCGGCCAAAATTCCAAACTTTAAAGAAATGATTTGCAATTTCGTACCAGGGGGGTTTTGGGGTTGCTGATTACGAATCCGATGTCAGAATTACGAAATTCAAAATGGCGGACTCAATATGGCGTCGTCCTTTGCGAAATATTTGACTTTTTATAGAAATCATTTGCAATTTTGTACTAGTGGGTTTTCGGGTCTGCTGTTTACGAATCTGCTGTCAAAATTGCAAAAATCAAAATGGCGGATCCAATATGGTGGCGGATTATGCAAAAAATTTGACAGTTTTTCTACCTTCCAAAACTTTGTAATTTGTAGGGGTGCGCCGTTTCGAGGTAGGAATTTTCAGAATCGGATAGGGCATACTCGAAAACCTATTCAAAGACCCATCTTTGTAACTCTTATGGTTGCTGAGAAAAAAATTAAACACGAAATCCAAATTTCGCCACTTGTTTGGGGGTGGCTTGGAAACGAAACACGTTGGACCCTGCGTGTTGGACCCTCGGTTTATTTGGAAAAAGTGCTTGTCTTGATCCTCTCTATCACTAAATTTTTTTACATGCGGTCATGTAACACCCTGTATGTAATTTATTACATCATATCCAAGAAACTGAAATAGCTTTTGTTCTCCGTTATACTCTCAATAGAAGCTTGAAAAATGAAAAAAGTAGATAAACAAAAAAATACATTCATATATCTTATCTTAGCGGAAAGGCTGGGGGGGCAATATAGATATACCTACTAATTTCATGTTATTACCCAAACCGTTTATGAACTGCTGACTTGGGATGCGATAAATTAAGAGGCAGCACACACGTTCGTTTCGTTCCTCGCTACAGAAACTGTTCGCTTTCGGAATGTAATTACAAACGAGCCTTCATTTTTAGTGCATAATCCTTTAAAAAAATGACCTTTTTAGTTTAAGTTTGGTATGAATTGGTATGTTCTTTGTAACAACAATTATAAATGAATTTTTTTGGAGGTGTTTGCACTGTAACTTTTTGGTCCGATAGTTAATTAAAGCAGGCAAAATAAACTACACCGCGCAAGGGCATCCTTCATCGGCACCCCTTGCGCCCACCACTCATTCCATGAAATTGTTTGATATGTTAAGTTTAAGTTAAGTTTTCTTTCTTTTCTTCCGCAATGCTTACATAGAAGTTGTTATTGCGAACCTTTAGCTCAGCGTTTCTCAACCTTTCACCATTCGCGACCCAATTATCAAAAATAATTATTACCGCGCCCCCCTGGTTATCACGTGGGAAATGTTTGCAACGTGTTTTTGAATTAAGACATGAAATCGCCATTTTTCTAGAAGAAGAAAACCGACCGGAAGCCGAGAAGTTTCGAGATGGCTTATTTCTAATGAAATTGAGCTACTTGGTCGACATATTTGAGAAACTAAATACCTTGAACCTTCAGCTCCAAGGAGCAAATACACATATATTGGATACGAGTGATAAAATTAATGCTTTTTGTAGAAAATTGGAATTGTGGAGCAAACATTTGCAGCAAAAAAACCTGGAAATGTTTGCAAATGTAAACGAATTTATTAAAAATTACGAGGTTGAAGAACAACAGGTGAAAGTTGTCTTTATTACCATTGAAAATCATTTAGCGATGCTGACCAAAAATTTTAAAAAATATTTTCTTGCTGACGAAAAATTAATACTTAGTTACGAGTGGGTTAGGAATCCGTTTCAAGTTACTCCCGAAGCGCTCTCAATGGCAGAAGAAGAACTCTTCATAGACTTGACGGCAAACGCCGAAATCAAAAAACAGTTTGATACTAAATCTCTTTTTGAATTTTGGGCAGGCGTGAGCGATGAGTTTTCGGCAGTAAAACCAGAGCGTTTCGTATACTATTACCATTTTCAACATCCTACCTTTGCGAAACAGGATTTTCTGCGGTGGCTGCTTTGAAGACCAAATATAGATCGCAGCTAAATATAGAAAAAGAACTCAGGGTGTCTATTTCAAATATTAAACCTTGTTTCGACAAGCTTTGTTCGGCAAAGCAGGCCCAAGGGAGTCACTAGTAATTATTGTTTTTTACACTTAATATTGTTAACTTTATTTGTAACTTAGTATTGATAAATTTAATATGAAGTACCTATTAATACAGTCCTGTTCATAAGAGTACCTACTATATCAGCGTTAATGTGTATTTTATTTTTAATTATGTCAGGATTTTGTTTTCTTTTCGTTTTAATAAATTATTTAATGTAGTTAGTGTTTTTTTTTTCTGATATGCTGCGCCCCCCCATTAATGTTTACACGCCCCCCTAGGGGGGCGCGCCCCACAGGTTGAGAAACGCTGCGTTTAGCTCTATATGTTTAGGTACAGCAGTATTTCTTGCAGAAGTCAAATAAAGCACATAACTTCAATGGTATTATAGTGATTATAACTGTAACTATAATATAGTCATATTTATTAAAATGTGCATGCACTCTATTGCAATTACAGGTAGGTACCCTTCAGTCTGCACGTACGTTTCGAAAATAGATCTTATTACCTACTCAAATTTTACTAATTTTGTATGATGTGTGTTAAACTAATAGATTCAACTAAAACCATTACTGTAGAAAGGCATTTAAAGTTTCTTTTTCCCTACACAATGAAATGATTCACGCGGTGTGGGTGAAATGTGTACAAAGCACCTTTTTTCTATTGACTATATAGGTGTTGTGTTACTATTGTTTGTTTTACCTTTGAATACCCCACGCGGTTGTATTTGTCGTCAAAAAGTCAATCCCATTAAATGATCGACAAAGCGCGTAAAATTCGAGTATAATACGAAGTCGTTACGCATTATAGGACGAAACTTTAATCATTACTCTAACGGCGCGGCGCGTCTCTTCCGAATACTGGCTCAAAACACACAAACTGTGAAATGAAATTGAATTATCTTTCCTTGAAATTGTCTTATTTCCTTATTAGACACCGCTATCGAGCAAATAAAGTTTGGTTTTAGTTTTTCGTCATTCCCTCAACTCGGTTTTGAATAAAGTTCAGATTTTCATGTTCCTGCTTTATCTGCATACCATCTTCCTATACTGCGTAGGTAACAACGATATTTCCTAAATTGTAGATATCAATTTAAATCAAACAATTTAACTCTATGAAAACCGATGGGACGCAATTTCAATTATTTGTCATCCCACCTTGTATGCTTAAATAGCATGTGGAACTAACAAATATGTGCCAGAAACGACACCACAAGTACTGCAACATTGCACAGTACATTGCGCATAATAATAGTAAATGTATGTTAACCTGACAGTAATTTCATCTTTGACTTCGGGTCGGCTGCGTGACGGAATTTTGTTTTTTTTTCTAGAGACGAAATTAACCACCTTTTGCAAAACGCGCGTCTTCGATGGGTAGTCGAGTCGAGCTAGGAGAAGGGCCTCAGAAATTGCGCACTATTTAGTGGAGGGCGTTTAGCGAAATCCATAATCCACCGAAATGTGAATTTCGGGTGAACGGGACGTCGGAAATTAGTACCGACAAATGGAACGTGGTTGCTTCGGACAAGATCTTATTGATATGATAGTGGAGTCAAAACTTTAAACGCGAATTTCGGGTGAACGCCTTAAAATTATAATATCGAGTGACACACCATCTTAAGGGCCAGAAAATTCTGTTTAGAGAAATTTGGATACCAATTCTGCTTATTGATTCATTCTAGAAAACCACAACAAGCACAGGATAATTAAAATTGACACATTTTACGTTTGTTATTCTTTGGAAACACCTACAGTTATATCTAGTATCTTCACACAATGATAACAGAACAAAAAGTGAAAAATTCATTTATTCTGTGTCGGTTTATGGTGTGGTATGGTTTTTTAAAATTGATTACTAAGCAGACCATCCAAGTATAATTTTGTGGGTATTTCTGTAAAGAGAATTTTATGGCTTTTAAAATGATGTCATTTGATGGAGCGCCTCGCTCTCTATCGGAATTTCTGGAATATTCGCAGCGATAAATATGAATTGCCGGATAAAGTGTCGACAATAGCTGCTTTCCCGATTTGGCCGCTAGAGAGACCTTTGAAAGTTTGTGTTCGTAATATAATGTGTGTGTAAAATGTAGGCTTATTAATTTATTTTGTTCAATATACATTAAATTCGGTTTCTGACGCCATACAACCGTTGTCATTCTACCCAAAACCCCTTAAAAGAATTGTAAAAGTAAGACTCGCAGTAAATTACTCATATTATATGCAGCAGGGAATTGGGCTGGAATTTAAACAACTTGGATTCTTTTATAACATAGCGGATTAAAGCCTTGAATTATATTTTTATTAACTGACTTTGATCATTACCAAATTGGTAATCCCTCAGAGGAATGAATTAACGCATATGGCTTGTCCCAGGCTCAAATTTTAAAAGAAATGACATAATCAAAACTTACCTACCTTAAGCTATAAAACTCCTAGGAGGAAACTCTCGAATTTCTTTGCTGTTAAGCATATTTTTGTGTTATAATTTATTAAATTATACTTAATAATATATACTTGAAATCAATATAGTATAGCACTCTGTAACATTGTGGATTTATTGAACATCATCGCTCTGCTTCTCACAGCATTTAACAGCAGCTAGCTAAAAGGCTAAACAAGTAGACAGTCTTTTATTTATTTATTGTTCCTCTCTTGTTCTGGACCCTCAACAGGCTTTGGCCCAATTATAGGGTGACCCGCATAGTGCTTTTTTAGAGGTGCCCTGCAGAAGGTCCTACTCCGGTATTTACCTTACGAATTAGGAAAACTGCAGGAAAACCTAATTCGGAGTAAGCGGCAGAATGCTCGAAACTGATCTAAGGAAATTCCCATCTCTGCCACAGATGAAAAATCCACCTCAACACAGATTCGAACACTCCACCTCCCGGATATGTAACCCAACGTTCTACCACTGAGCCCCAGTTGCACCAACAAAATTAAGCCTTGCTTAAAGTTAAGTCGAACTATGGCAACGATTATTAAGACAATTGTTGCTATGGTATTTAAGTTATGCTTAACTTTAAGGAATACTTAATTTTGACGGTAAAATTGGCTCTGAGCCACATAGACGGTCTTGTAAAAAGTAAAATAAACACAATAATTTATTAAAATACCGAACGCGATTCAACAGCAAGGCCCTCATCATCAGTGAACATTTGAACATTTGAACACTGCCACATGTTCGCTGTTTAAACGCGTTCAATATCTTAATATATTAATGTGGTTTATTGGTGTTTTGTTTTAGTTACAACGGCCACAGGGGTTCCAGTGGTTAATCTTATAGACAGTCTTGGTTTCCATAAGCCGTATCCACCCATACATAACATGAATTTACGTTGAAAATGGTGACAATAGAATATGCAATTTCAATTCCATCTCAAACATCACTCATTACTGTTTGATGTTCTACTTTAGGAAGTACTACCACGGAAAGATCCTTGTGGTAAGAGCATATTGTTATTTTCTGAGACGGTTGCCTGTAAATTGTAAAGGAAATCTCGCGCAAGATACTTTTGTGCTAAAAAACTCCATATATAATGTAATAATGGTTCGTGGTGTATCAAAAAGTAAAAAGTGAAATGACTTTGGTAAAATTATTATGCAATTTCGAGGATTTACATGCAATAAGTAGATTGTTCAACCTGGTTCAACCGGAAAAAAAAGGTAGCAACTAAACACTTACGCGAAGGACTCTTTTTTCCCAATTTTGGTGTCCAAATTGTTGCCCTAGGTGGTACTTTTCTACGAAGTTAGAGGCGCGTCACGCTTGTAGCTGTATGCTGGCGCTTTGAGTGAGGAAACCGGAACCAACGTGAGGTAAAATCGTGGAGTATACCAAAACTGTAAGTGAATTCTTTTTCTTTCTTTTATTTTCTTCCGTCGTAAATAGGTCTTGTCAAATCGAATCGTTGTTCGCTGATGATGACGGCTTTTTTGTACAGATTTGATTGTAAGGTTTCCATGAACGTATTGTAAAACATCTTATGTTTGTAGCGGCGAGTTCTTACGCCAGGCGCTTATGATTTCTCCTAATCGCTCGCTCGGTTTGCTTGATCACTCGATAGCTTCATGTTCATCGATTTAAAAGAGGACGGATAGACCGATTACGATGAAATTTTGCAAGTGGGTTCTGTAGCAAATTTGTAGATCGGAGTTTGTGAGTTAGCAAGGCATTCCAAAAAACAAGGAAGACCTTTTTGGCATCTACTTTAATAATGAACCGAAGTGAATGAAATTTAAAGTGGGTATAGGATTAATAGGCAATTCGTTAAATACCCCTAGAGGATAGCGGCCCGACTATGGGGCTCAGTGGTAGAGCGTTGGGCTACATAGCCTAAGGTCGGGTGTTCGAACCTGGGCACTTTCACACTTCAAAGAATTCGAAAATATGTGCAACTCCAATTTGACAATTAAAACATAACTGAAGCATTTTTATCTGCAATTATGGTACACTGAATTCATGACACAAGACACAAGAATCCAGTCCTTTTAAAGATTCAACCTCAATTCACTGCTGCATATAAATGAGTTTACCGATATCTTTTTTTCAAATTAAGTTAACGTAATTACTCAAACCTTACTTTCAGTGGAACTGATGCCCAACTCTAGTAAGCTAGGGAAAAATATCATCCTTGTATTATAGTTATAGTATTCATTAATCTTAGTAGTTATAAACAAAACGAAGGGGCTCTTTAGGGCGACTGACGATGACAAACAATCAAATGTGACGTTGTTTAGGTAGGTAGAATGAATTAAACAAACTAATTTACGAACATTTCAAAGTCAGCCCCTTTTTGTGGAGAATTCCCGTACTTACAACAGTAGTTGCGGTCGCAAAATGAATGTTGTTTTTATAACTATAAATGCAACAAGTAGGTACTAAAGTCTTCGCATCAAGACTTTACTTGCAAACGGTTACTGTGACGATTAACAAGTGGCTAACTACCCTATTAACATTTTAATTAAGACGTCAAAGAAATTTCCAACTACATATCATTATAAAAATATGTAAAAGGATTGATTCCTTAATAAATTATGTCGAATAAGGATGTACTGTATACACAAAGTTGTTACAATACAGCAACAATAGTTTGTAGCTGGCTAGTACCATGCAGACTGCTTTCAAAACAGATTAGGGTTGTCGTAAGCTAATTAAATGAATTGTCGGTTAATAATTACTTACAAAACGCGTATATTCAGGTGATGATGTCGGAACTTCTTGATCTTGATTCATACCTTGGTTATTAAATATAACAGGGCACCATAATTAATTTTTAAGTCAAGAATGATTTGTGGATGTCGACTTCTATAAATCACGCACATTAAGAAAAGTGCGGATGAAAATGATGGAGAACCCTCACGATCGGCCGGCGCGTAGTTAGCGACGCAAAGTGGCTTTTCCAACGTCGCGACGCCTATCCAGCAAAACCCGCCCATTACACAATGCTGAAAATTCATTTATAAATATAAATTTAATTGAACACTTACTATGTTCCTTTAATACTTATTACGGTGCTAAAGCAATTATGCAGGTATTTTGTCCCGCTATGTATAAAATGCAACAGCTTGACCTAAAACCCTTTTTTCAGTTCCGTGACAGTAATACAAATTTAGCTTAACTACAATCGACTAATACACATGAAATTTACATTATTTTATCAAATGAAGGCGTGGTTACATGTCATTGGTGGTAGACGACCCCCTGCAGCCCAATCGTACTTCCGGTTACCCTTTTAAAAGCGCATGTCCTCTCCTCTGTATTGTCATGCAATACGTGTACTTGTTTATGCAAAATCGTTTTATAATCTAAATAGGAAGCTGTAACCAATCAATTAGATCAAAGTGTGCACGGAATGTGAATAAGTAATTGATCAATACTCGTATGTGGAAAGGAATATCTCAATTCGAGGTAATAAACGAATCCTTTGAGAACGTTAAAATTTCATAAGGGATTATTAATATATATATCTTTGTTTATTTGATAAACACTCAAGAGGACAAAAGTTACAGTACGAGAGCACAAAGCAGAAGTTTACACATAAATAGTAGATCAAATACAAGTTGATCCCTAATGAGTTAAAAGTCAAGTATATACATAATTATGTATAGTGACCAGTGTTACCAAAAATGTTAAATACACTGGACTATTGTAGAGAGATATAGAATTAACACATGAATTTGCTATAGTTTCTTCTAGATACGTTGCAACAGAAGTTTCTCGCTGCTATTTGTACAACAGTTCTACAGTTATGATTGCCAAGCAGATATCACTTTTGCAGAATTAATTAGATGCTATGTCTTTATAGTTGCTTTATGATGAAATCAAAGATACCCTAGTTTGAACCGAATGACGGTATAGAACAGTTTCACGTCATCATCAGTAATTTTTTGCTAATGCAGGTCCCCTCCACGACTCTCTATCCTCTGTACTTCTCTTTACTCTTGCATATCCGCCTTCTCTCTCCTTCAGATCGTCCACTAATTTTCTTCTTCTTTCTCTCTTCCTTTCTCCCTGAACAGTTCCCTCTATTACTTGCTTCAACAAACATTTCCTCTTAATACATATCCAATCCAACATACATCTTTCCTCTCCAATTTTGCGTAATTCTTCTACATTACTTAGGTACCTCATCAGTCCATTTGATGTTCATGGTTCTTCATCATATCCTCATTTGAAAACCATTCCTGATTTCTTTTCATTGCTGTTGCACTACCGTTTGTTTGTTTAATCTCCGCTGTAAATTATTCTGCCACTTTTTATTTCTGTCTTAGTTCCGACTGCTTTTAAAGCAGCGTCGGTAATATTTTTCTTAAGTTTTTTCCAGCTCGTTTCTGCATTGTTACCATTTTCAATGTGTTCTGATTGTATCTTCTGCTTAAGCCTCTTTTGTATATAAGTATTTAATTGAGTCGTCTCTTCAGTTCTATATTTTTATTTTTTCTTCTGTCTTTCTTTGTTTACCTTTCTTTCCACCCTTCACTGAATATAATTTTACAGAGCACCAAATAGTGGTCGCATCTTATATAAGGTGACATTAGGCTTCGAACATCCAATAACTTATTTGTCGTGTATTTCTCTGTTTCTTACTTCATAACCTATGATTGATCTTTGTCCTCTCGTATTTTCAAATTTGTATTTATGTTGAAATTTATGTTCAAAGAGTGTGTTGTTTATTCTTAGCTCGTTTGTTGTGCAGAAGTCCACCATTCTGTTCTCGTTACTGTTTTTTACATTAATGTTTTATTCCAGGTATTATACCTATCCTACCATTAAAATCCCCCAATAATATCAGCTCGGGTTTGCAGTCTTCTGCTGCATAGGTTTCTATTTAATCCTTTGAGATATGTACCGATAATCTTGTATTTGATCTTTATATTTAGTTCTTACAATTATTGATACACCTTCTTTTGCTCTCTCCTGTTTTGGTACTCCACTATATATTAGTAAGTATTCCCCTACTAGACTGTTCTTTTCTGTTTCATGCAGAGCACATAAGCCTATTGATGTTCTCTCAACTCTTTCTCTATATCCTGATCTTTATTATTTGGGGTGTTTACATTCCATGTGGCCACCCTCATTATATTTTTCGATTTCCAGTTCGTTGTTCTTTTTCTCGCTTACCGTTTTTTCCGTGCATATCCGAGCCTTTCTACCGGTCTTTTGAGCATTCTTGTTTTTATGTCTGGCAGGCTGCTAACCTAACCCTACAATCCTCCGACTGGCAACATCACCGACTAAGCTACTCAATTCAACCAGTGGTGATGCAGGCGTAGTAGGGCATGTAATACTTTTAATTAATTTTTTCGACATTTGAAAGTGCAAAAAAATAATGCATGTTTCATTTGGAAAAATCAATTTTTTACATTTTTAAATTATTAAAATTGACCCTCAGTTTTTTTCCACACTTCGATAGTTGATAGTTGATGTAGGATATCACAAAGGACCTGCTATTTCTATATAGATTGTAGTGTATATAAACAAAAATAACTTTATCTGCGTGTATGTCTCTTATGCCTTCCTAAACGCTTCATCGGATAGCAATGAAACTCTAGGGAATGGTTGGACGTATGCCCGGGAAAGTTTCTGTTTCAGCAAAGCACCTGAAATTCCCGCAGGAACGGGAACGCAAAAAAAAACGAGATTTCACGTTTTACAGGGGAAACTGCAGATAGAGACTTCACTTTTAGAACGTAGGTGTTGATTGTTAGTAGGCGTAAATGTACTCCGAAAGCACTTCTCGGGAACCACGGGAACAGGGTACGGAAACGGGAAAAAATAGATATACGACATTGACTAATAGGCGGTACGTATTGCAGAGAACGACTAGAAAAATATAGTATGAAATAACAACAGTTTTGTTTAATTACTGAAAGGTTTAATGGAATTATAATATAAAGGGTGTCCAGAAATGCACGCAAGAAGTAATTTTAGAAAATAGAAAACGCAGGTTTTTAATTAATAATGGAGATGTTGTAACTAATGCATTAAATTCAAACTAAAAGAAGCATCGCTGTCCCAAAAACTCCCATAAGGATTGCATTGCCCCTGTTCCCTGTGCTGTAAAAAAGACAAGGTGAAACAGACTATAGGATACCTGGGTTTCACACAGCATTTTTCCCAACTGCTCACAAAAATCAGCTTACTCGAGGCAAAAGTTTTTCACGACTTGAATTTAATACGGATGAAAATCTAGTCTTTCAGGAAGAAAACAATCGTGAACAGCCGGACTCCAAGCAAAACCACGTACAAATTAGGAAAGGAAAAATTGGAACAAGTAACACCACTTCAAGTATTTCCGATCAATCATTAATTAGCACCTGAACCACGAGGTCGAAATCAAGAGCAGAATCGAACAAACCAAACAACCGTTCAAATGGAAAGCTCTCATCAGTTTGAACTACGCACACTAAAATAATATATCTGACCAATGCTACTCTACTGTGTAGAGATCTGGACTCCCATCCACTACAAAACAGCGACAGACTCTCAAGATTCTACCGAAGGATGCCGAAAATCCGATGGACGGTCAATTTAACAAATGTACAGGTCCTGCAGGACATGTATACGGATTACGCCTAGCTCAAAACCACCACCAGTAAGAAATGCAAATACCTAGACCACATCGCGAGGAACTCCCAAAAATATCAACTACTGCCACTCATCCTTCACATGAAAACAGCACAAATTCTACACACCGCTTTTCCTCTTGGTTTCGATTTAGCGGCGGAACCTGTAAGTATGTCGAATCTAGCATATTTTTATTCTTGTAGAATTTGGATCAAGTCGATTTAATTGAAAATGACGGCGAAATAGCGTTGGGTAGTGTTAATTGCCTTCATAAAATATGCTTCAAAACAAAATAAACATCATCAACTTCAATTCATTCGAAAGCCAGCGTGACTTGATTGGAACCAGTATCTTATAATGTTATAGAACAGTAGTAGTTTTCCGCATCTCTGCCCCTAGCAACGAAACGATACTTCGCTGTTTGAATATGATCAGTGAAATGTCACATTTGACGTATGTATGTACGTATAAAAAAAAGGTATTTGAATATCGGTACCTACCTTATTCTGCGACACTGTGTAGAAAGATAAATGTTATTTTCCCTTAAATTCTTTTTTATGCATCTAGATGAAGATCTAGGTAGATTACATAAAGTGGTAGTAGGAATTGGAAAACATGACGGAGGAAAAATGTTAGCAATGCTTGGGAGGCCCCCAGTTAATTTATATCGCCTTCTACAATACTCAGAACCCCAGTGGGGCACTTCTACCCCTGAACCCAGAGGGGAAGTTTTTGTTATGTTTACAGATTTGTTAGATATTTATTTTCAGTGGTTGTGTTTTAGGATCTAAAAACTGTGAATAGGTATTTTCTGTCTGTTATTTAGGAAATGAACAAATGAATAAAATAACAGAACTATATACATATACTCCTATCAAATACTGTTCTTGTTTAATGTATATGAATTGTGTGTTACAGTTCAACGTCATTATTAAAGCCATTTATTTCGCGTTATCTAAATTTAATGCATGAAGCAAGAAACCCTTGCTGTTTTAGTTGAATTTTATTCACTGTTGTCAGGTGTAGGTACAGTTTTACTTCCAACAGAGCATAAGTTCTATACTCGCCTACCGACAATTTCCATTTCCGTTTCCTTGCGTTGAAATGTTGTGCGGTGCAGTGCAAATTTGTGTTACTAATTTGCGTTAACATTGCTAATAAGAAGAGATATATCAGTTTCAAATTACTTTTCAAGGAAGGTTCTTCTTTTTGTTTGATTGCAATATCGGTATTTTATATTTAAGGCTTT